TGTGGATGGGGAGCAACACGCCTGATGCACAGAGCGGATGTGAACCGGGGCAGGCAGAGCTCAGGGCTTGACGCAGAAAGGGTTTCACTGGAACTTAGGAACTTAGGAAGCTGGGCAGGAGCCACCTCCCTCGGTGCCTGCATCGTGCTGTGGGGTGGGGTGGGGGTGGGGATGGGGGTGGGTTCTGAGCTGGGCATCTCCTCAGAAGGACCGGGGCCCCGCAGCCGAAGCCACATGTCACACCCTGTCCTCCAGTCGCCGCCAGCCCTTGCCTCACAGGCAGCCGCAGAGCTCGAGCGATCACCCACCTGCGCGACAGCTGGTCCTCCTGGCTGCGCACGGAGCTCTCGCCCACGGCAGACGCGCCTTCGGGCAGCTGGCTGAGCTGGTCCAGCACCTCCAGGCCGTTCTCCTCTGCGATCTGCACGATGAGGCTGTCCACCTGCTCCTGTGGCGTGGTCAGCGTGGTGGCCGAGCTCATGGAGTCCTCCATCACCTGGGGGCCAGACACTGGGCAGTCAGGCCAAGCCCGGGAGCCCCCACCGCAGCCTCACAGGGGCCCCGGCCACACCACAGCCACCATCTCATTTCCTGCTGGCTCCCCACTGCCACTATCTCCAGCCTCTGGGTGTCACGCAGGGAGTGTTTCCGGCCACCCCACCGGGAGCTCGCTGGCCCCCCTGGCCCAGGCCTCCTGTGCTCGCACTGTGTGCTGTCAGGACCCTGACAAGGGGTCAGGGACGCGGAGGCAGCCCCGCGGGGGCTCAGCACAGAGGACACCTGCTAACGCCAGGGAGGGAGCAATGCGTGGCCGCCACACAAGCCACCCTCCCGACGCGCTGGCCACCTGCCTGGAAGGGGCGACCTACCGAGGTGTGCACGTCCAGGTTCTGCACCTGCTGCTCAAACTTGTCCATCACCGCAGACACCTTCTGCAGGTCCATGCTGCTCAGCGCTCGGTCCAGGGCTTTGGTCACCTGCGCCATGTTCTTGGTCACCTGGCCCAGGAGGGAGTAGGAGGCAACAGGACTGAGGAGGGGACATCCCACAGGGACAGGCCTGAGCCCTCCTCCACCCAGGCCAGCGAGATCCAGCCCGGCCGAGCCAGCAGCCCTCGGGCCGCACAGGCCGTCCTGCAGGCGCCCAGGAAACGCCGCCACCAGTGGACACGGAGGCCAGCACGGCACGCGGGAGAGCCCACGGACACCCGGCTCCGGGGCTGTGTGCTCTCCTTGGCAGGCACTTGCTGTGCAGGGACTCCCCCGTCCACCCCACAGACCCAAAGGGCCCTGGCATGACCCCTTCCAGCCCCAGCTAGTCCCCTGGACGTGGCCAGCAGAGGGAGCACCCACAGGTAGGAGGCCGGGGCCAGACACTCACCCCCTTCATGGTCACAGCTGTCTGCACCTTGGAGGCCACGGCGTCCACGCGAGACGCCATGCGCAGCCAGTTCACACCTTCATTCTTCTTGCGAATGGCGTTCTCCGCGTACACACGGGCGCACTCCACGTTCTTCTGCTGCAGGGCCTGAAATGTGGGGCGGTGCCCACCTGCTCAGGGGCCTGGCCTGGCCTGGCCTGGGGTGTGGCTGCTGACATGCCCCTTTCACAACCTCGGCAGGGCTGCGAGCTTCATGGAAATGCAGACACCCAGGCCCCCAGCCTGCTCAGGAGCCAGGGTGTCCAGGGCAGGGCCCAGACCAGCCCGCAGTGGGTTAGACGGGAAAGCCCTGGAAACATGGCCACCTGTCCCCACCCCTCCACTCCCGCGACTCACTCAGCCTCTTCAGCTCCCTCCCGAACCTCTCACCGCCCCCCCCCCACCACACACACACACACACACACACACACACACACACACACACACACGAGGGCTGAAGGCGAGGACGCAGCCACAGTGGGAAGGGGGCTCTCTGGCCCCCCTCTGCCCTGGGAGCCAGTGTGGGAGAGACGTCCCCCAATCCAACACCCCCATTCAATAGCTGTCACAGAGGCCCCACCAGGACAGCCAGACCCCCTCCGGCCTTTCCTTCTGTCCCTCCCTAGAGAGGCCCCGAGAGCCTCCAGCCCTGTCCTCGCCCCACAGAGGGGCTGCCTCCCCTCTGCCCGGGCTCTGGTACCCGACCTTCGCAGGAAAAAGAGGGCTCAGTGCAGGGGTCAGGGGCAACCGCCAGAAGCCCACTTCCTACACCATTTAGAAAAAACTCAAGTTCAGAATGGCAGAAATGAATAAAAGGCATGGACAGTCAAGGAAAAAGCATAGGCGATGCCTCATCTTTCTGCTCTGGATGCCTGGGGGTGGGGGGCAGAAAAGGAGCCACTGTGGCCTTAGCTAGCGGCCCCTCCCCTTCCCTGCGTGGAAGCCACAGCCACAAAGAGAAGATGCCAGGAGCCCAGCTGGTGTGGCTCAGGGGTTAAGCGTCAACCTATGAACCAGGAGGTCGCGGTTCGATTCCCGGTCGGGGCACACGCCTGGGTTGCAGGCTTGATCCCGTGTGGGGCGTGCAGGAGGCAGTGATCCATGCTTCTCTCTCATCACTGAAGTTTCCATCTCTCTCCCTCTCCCTTCCTCTCTGACATCAATAACATATATTTAAAAAAGAAAGAACAAGGAAGAAGACCCAGGAGCACGGACAGTGGCAGCGCCTCACCTTCTTCACCTTGGCCTGCTCCGCCTTCGAGTCCTTCTCCGCCTTCTTGGCCAGTTTCTCCAGCTGCTTCGCTGTGAACTGAGCAGAGGCGAGAGCCCTGGTCACACGGCAAAGCCCTGCCCCCTAACGAGGTGCCTTCCACACGCGTGCTTGTGAACAAGTGCCCGAAGCCGCCCACACCGGCCCTCCCGCCCACGGCAAAGCCCGGGTGACGAGCGACACCAGCAGCCGGCGCACATCAGCTGGCCGCCCCGTTGTTCAGAACTAACCAGGATGTTACGGGGGAGGGGCACTGGAGGGAAGAGCGGCAGAGCTTGCCCCGGATTCACCGGAAGTGCACACGGCACCCAGACAGGAGGACACTCAGATGCCCACACGGCCGCCTTCCATGGGATGTTACAGGACTTGAGGGCACAGCTTTAAAAGCCCAGTGGAACATCAGGGAGGAGCCTCATGCCCAAGTGTTTCTTCAAGATAACACCTCTTTCACGGGTGAGCCCAAGTGGCCCTTGCCCTCAGCTGCCACCAGACAACTCAGTAACCCCCTTGTCCTCAGTCGGGCTGAGCCTGGGCAGCGGTCACCAAGTGACAACCTGTCATTTGGTTGCGATTCACACCCACGTCCCCGCTCCCTAACCAGCAGGGCGGGGCTGGGGCCCAGGGCCCTTCGGTACATACCTTCAGCTGGAACAGGGTATCTGCAAAGAGAGGAGACGGTTTGAGGATTTTAAGAAACGTGACGAGCAATACTGCCAGCAAGCAGAGAGGCTCCCTGGACCCTCCCGGCACACAGAGCTGGACCAAGCACAGGAGGGGCCGGCCCTGCCGAGGGCTCCCGCCCGCGGTGGACACAGGGCCTGGGCGGCCGCAGGGCCTCCTGAGCCTCCAGGCCCTCTCGGCAACACCAGGATGGCGCCAGCTGACCCCAAGGGCGAGTGTGTGGGCAGCGGGCATGTGGCCCCGGTGAAAACTCAAGGTGGTGGCTGGTAATGAAAACAACTGCAAAGGTCCCTTGGGATTCCTTCCGGGTTTAATAAGGCCGAGGGCGTGACAGTCTACTTTTTATAAGATGCTCTTTCCCTGAAAGCAAGTGGATGGAAACAGCAGGGTGACGGCTCCTCCGCCATCGGAGAGCAGAGTCTTCGAATCCGCCCAGGGGCCTCGCCATCCGCCATCCGCCATCCGCACCGACGAGCCCAGGAGACCCGGGTTTGTTCTTGGCGAACCCGCTTGGCAGCGGACTTGCTCCTGACGCACCGAAGCCCAAGGGCCAGCGGACGCCAGTAGGTCTTAAAGCGACGGCAGCGGTTCAGCTGCTCTTCGGGGAGGAACCTCAGAGGGTTCATCGCACCACCTCGGCGTGAAGACGCCCTCAAACCAGAACGGGCAGACCTGTGGCTCTAGGAACCGCAGGGAACCTGACCCGGCACCCTGGGCTTAGAGCAGGAGAGCAGGGTGGCCGCGTGCCCAGCGCTGCCCGGCCCCCCCTCTCCCCCCCCCGCCCCCCCATCTAGCTCATCCAGACTCTGAGAGACCAGAACTTTGTGAAGGCGAAACCTCACCCCGAAGAAAGGGCTACGGGCATCATCAGCTCCCTTGGGAACCGCCTGGAGGAGGGAGTGTGTGTTGGGGGGCAGGGGGGGCTCCTCTTCTGAGGCCATTTGTACCCAATTCCTTCACACAGAGACAACATGGTTGCTGGCTCTCGCATGTCACAGAGGGGCCAGCCCTGAGCACCCAGCAGAGGTGGCAGCCCCTCCGTCGGCGTGTCCTGGCGGGGGGGTGGGGCGGCGCAGGCTGCCCCTCAATGTTCCCACCTGCAGGGGGTCCCGCCCGGGGGCTGCTGGCCTGAGCTTTCCCCTCTCTCTTCGCGGGGTTCGGGGCAGTCCTGCTTCCTTGTCCGGGGCCCTAAATGCCGAGCTCCCTCTCCGGGACCGGAGATGGGGGTGAGGAGGGCGGGGATCGAAGCGCGGGGGCCGGGGGATCGGGAGCCGGGGGCCGGGGTCGGAGCGACGGGCATCGGGGGGTCGGGGGGTGAGGTCGGGGCGACGGGCATCGGGAGGCCGGGGGGTGGAGCCGGGGCGACGGGCATCTGGGGGCCGAGGACGAGGCCTGGGGCGCCCGCCTGGCCCGCCCGGCTCCGAAGGGCGGCGGCCTCTTACCGTCCATGGCCAGGCCGGCAGCGGAGCCCTCGCAGAGGCCCTGAGACGGAATCTCCAGGGGGCGTCGAACGGCGGCGGGAACTTCCGGGTTGTTCCTCACTTCCGGCGACCGGCCCCTCTCGCGAGAGGACGGAGGCCCGTCCCGCGAGAGGCGGCGTTGCCGTGGCGACCGCGCCGCGCCGCCCGGCCGCGACGTTTGTGAGTCACCGGCGCAGCGCGCCCGCCGAGGAGCAGGTGCCGGCCGGGCTGGGCCGCGGGGCGGCGGGCCCACCGATGAGGCTTTGCCGAGCCAACCCCCCGGGAAAGGTAAAGGGCCGCCGGCCCGCGTCTCCGGAGCGGGCCGCACCTGCGGGAGCTGGGGGTGCTGGGCGCCCCCCTCCTGCGCCTGAGTCCCGGTGACCGTGCCTCGGGAACCCTTTCTGCCATAGAAATATACGGTTCAGGGAAATGGAGTCGCCCAGGTCTTCATTCTGAGCCAAAGAAGGCAACTGAAGAAGAACGCATGCATTGCCCAAGAGTCAGTCAATCACGTCCAATTAACTGTCCATATATTCCAGGTGAGGAGCAAATGGGGTGCACCCACTCAGGCCCAAAGCCTAAGCAAAGGTCGGTGGACAGTCTTTCCTCTAAGTCTGCAGAGGGCCGCTTTCGGAAGGAAGGGGCCGCCACGCAGCAGGTGCCGGCACGTGGAGTCAAAGGTACGACCCACCCAAAAGGGGACAGAGCCCAGGTTGCAGCTTCAGGGAGTCTGGGGACGGGGTGATCAGGGATCCTGACAACAGGGTGGGCGGGTTTAGGATCTCTGTGTAAGAGGGGACAGGTTCAGTAAAGGTTGGGGGAGTTGCCAAGTGATAGGCGCCTAACAGTCAGGAGGGGCTCAGCACCCAGACACAGCGCTCCCCGCTCCCGTCCCAGCGGGTGGAGGCACTGTCTGTTCCTCAACCCCGAGACTGGGTCCGCAGCTTGGAAGGCTGCCCCAGGCTGGAGCACAGTCACGTGTCAGAAGAACCTCCGTGGGACAAAGGGCTGCAATTGCTTGGCAAGTTTATCCACTTCGTCACAGTCCAGGGTGGGTGTGGGCAGGGGACTGCCTGTCACACCGTCATTTCAGGGGGGTGGAGAGAGGATGGACACCCTGGCGGTGTGTCTCGGTGGGGGCGTCGTCCTACACACTGAAAGGTTTTGAGTCTGATTTTCGGTCAGGGCACATACGTATGTTGCAGGTTTGATCTCAGGTATGGGAGGCAACTGATCGCTGTTTCTCTCTCTCTTACCTTTCCCCTCTCTCTAAAAACTAATCAATAAACATATCCTTGAGGGAGGATTTAAAAAAAAGGTGAGGCTAGAGTTTCAAGAAAGAAGGTGAAGTGTGTGGTTTCTCCAATAATGAGGCATCTCAGCAACAAGGGTCAAGCTACTGACACCCGGGACCCCGAGGGAGTCTCCACAGCCGGGCACCAGGTGCAGGAGCCACACATAGAGACGATGGTGTTATCATTCCATTTACATGAAACGCCCAGGAAAGGCCAATGTATAGAGGGAAGCCGGGCTGAGGGTGAGAAAGGGGGTGGGCGCAAATGGGAACAAGAGTTCTTAAAACTGGATCGAGGGTTGCCTGCCTCTGGAAGTTTGCTAAAAATCATTGAAGAGTGTGTTTTATCTTTTTAAAAGTGTATACTTTAAACAGGTGGATGTTATGGTATGTAAATTATACCACAATAAAGCTGTTAAAAAAGAAAGGAAAATTAGTCAGCAGTGTTCAATGCTGCAGAGACATGGCCGCGTGGAATGAGCGTGGCCGGTCTGCCTCGGTGGCCGGCAGGGAGCGAGTGGAGAGTCTGCCAGGAAGAACATGGAACGAGGGCGCACACCCCGGCTTTTCACTTGCGGGGTTGAGACCTTGTGGAAGTCGGAGTCTTTTAACCAACCTAACACCGTAACAGCTTCGGGGAAAGGGAGAGTTCCAAGTCAAGAATTCTGTGTATTACCCAAGTATTGAAAGTAAGCTCGACTACTATGGGACAGACACCAAAGGGCCTGCTGGCCTGGGCGTGCTGGCCGACGGAGAACGGGCCTGCGGGAGCTGTGGAGCAACGGAACGTTCTGCATCGTGTTTGGGTGCTCACACTGGTGGGTGCAACTGTGAAAACTCACCCAGCTGAGCAGTTGCGAACTGTGCATTGTATCTTGTGTGGTTCACACCCCAAAACGCCATGGGACATAGCGAGTCCTGTCTCTGAGAGCCGCACCCAAATTCTTTAGGTCTCACTGGTGTGATGGATGGACATGGAGTCTGAGGTTCGCCGCAAAGTGAAGGTAGACGCACGGCTGCTGGTGTTTCCCCAAGACAAGCCCAGGTCGCCCACCACGAGTTCCGAGTCCCGTGGAGCGTCCGTGACGCTCCTCCGCCTGGACGTGGCCTTGTCCCTCTCCCTAGATTGCTCTTGTAGCCATCAGACTGTGGCCGAGGTGACCTCTGAGGCTGGGCCAGGACAGGCTCATTGGAAGGCTGGCTGGGGCTGGAGCCCAGAGCCCCGAGCTGCCCCCTGGTGGAGGTGCTGCAGTCAGCGGTCCCATCTCTGAGCCCTCCAGCCAGAGTCAAGCAGAAGCCAGTGTCAGTCAGCAGCCCTGCGAGTGGCCACCTTGAATGTCCTGCAAGGAGAATCATTCCATATGCAATTCTTAACCAACACATATTACTTTAAATTAAATATTCTTAACCTTTTAAGTAGTTGTAATATATGAAACACTTGTATAAAACAATGTGAAAAAATAAATTCCCCACTTGAAACTAAATGGAGAATAGGATGACATGAAGTGCCCAGTGCAGGCTGTGGTCCCTTGGTTACAATCATCCAGGCTGTCTGCAGGGTTGAAGTTCGAGGGGGCTCTGGACCTGACACCCGGGCTCCAGCATCTCCCTCTGCCATCAGCCTCGGGCAGGTGACTTAAACGTCCTGTGCCTCAGGTCCTTCATCTGTCAACCGAAGGGACTCGAGGACCTGCTTCAGAAGCTGGTCGTGGGGCATTACTCACGGGCTCATTCCCGTGTGGCTAGGCCTGTGAGGTGTGGTGGGAACAGGGTAAACGGCCAAGCCGTCCTGGTGCAGGACGTGACGCTGTGAGTGCTGCTGACGCACACACATCTGCGCAGAGACCTCTGTGGTGCTTTACCGGAGGCGTGAAGGGATGTGCCTCCAGCTGCACCCCCAGGGGTCCGGGCAGGGAAGGGCCTTCTGCTTTTTGTAACATTTGACACACTCAGCATTTCACAAGTTTCATGTATTCCTTGCAAACTTAACAAGTTTAAGAAAATGTGGCCAACATCAGGAGTGTCCGTTTGTGCAGCGTTCTGACTGATAAAGTTCTGTACAGAAAGCTGTTACCAGTGTTAGAATCCTTTGGAAACTGTGCTCCTGAAACTTCACCTGAGGCACACCTGCCTTTTCGAGGTTGTCTCCTGCCTGAGCCTTTGGCAGCCTGGTCTCCACGGCGGATGGCAGAAGTCTCCTTTCATCCTGGAAAGAAGGTGTCTAGGTGAAGCTTTTGAACGTCCGTGCACAGTTCTGTTTCCAACCTCACCTGTTTCTTTGTCCTGAACCACGAATCTAGTCCCTGTGCTTTGGCCGCACACAGACGCCGTCTGCTTCGCTGCAGACTTACTGAATACCTGGATGTTTCCTTCCTTCCAGAGAAACGTGGGGCAAAGGCAACGTCAGGCAGGAGCAAAGTTGTCATTCCACAGATCGTCATCACTTCGGCCTCAGATGAGACTCTCACCTGTTCCATCGGGAGCCAAGAGCAGAGGACCATTCACGAGGAGATGGAATGGGGCCCCTACGCCCGACACAGGAATCCCAGCACAATAGACGCCTATGCTTTACAGACTAAAGAATAAACGACCACCTGAGTCGCTGTCCTTATTCACTGTGCTCTGAGCTCAGCCGTGATGGCAGAAGGGCTGCCCTGCCCTGTGGAAAGCTGCAGGTGCCCCTTCGGGAGATGACAATCTCCCTGCCCCGCCCGTGACTACCATGGTCTCACCTTCCCCAGGGCTGCTGGCAGCTTGGCTGAGGGCAAGAGTGACTTAAATTAGTTTGAATAAATCATCCCCGCCCCCCGTTGGAAATGGCTGGCTGTGCAGTGATAGACAGCAGGTGGCACCTCTCCCTTCGGTTCAACTCCCTCCCACCCACTCTGAAGGAGCATGGGCTGTGTGGTGAGATGTCCCCGCACGTGGAAAGGTGGGGCTCTGAGCACTCAACCTGAAGGTGTCGCATTCCATGGAGGGCTCAAGGGCTCCCCGCCTGGCTGCTCCAGGGCATTAAGCATCCAAAAGGAGAATGTGGAAGGGGGTGGGGGGCAGCCGTGCATGTGGAACCTTGGAAGTGGCCCTGTCACAGCTGCCCGGGAAGAGGACAGCTGAGCTGGCACTGCCCATCTTTTTGGCTGTGAGGGCTCCCTATGGGGACGGGCCACCCGGGGGACCCCTCAACTGTCCCACCTCACCAGCAGTGCTCAGGTGCAGAGAATGCCCCTCTGGCTGGGCTCACATTTAGTCTGGTGACACTGTTCGCTTCCTTAGTTCCTGGAACGGTCAGCAGGCTCTGCACACAGTTCCTATTTCTCTGTTGATGAGGACTATGTCCTTTTAGTATTAAATAGTACAACTGACTTCCAACCAACCAATTTTGGTATAATCTGAGAAATCTCAGATTGACATCGTTTACTAATACGTTATTAGTGTCACTACTTATATTCAATGTGTTTATGCATTCTGATTGTCACAACTAAATATACAGAAAAATCAAGTCCATCCAAGTGTGGATTTGACCCCATAGGGTCAGGACGACTGCCCTTCTCCATAAAGTTTCTTGCAACCATTACATTTGTATTATTGGACCTAGAAATTACCCTCCTTCCCCTGCCCTGAGCATCTCAAGTAATCTGAACACTATTTACCATGGTGCTCATTCCAGCCTCATTATTAGCTTATGAATGAATGAAAAAGAGCTGGGCTGCCCCAGGGGGCTGGGCGGAAAGGTGGAGTGAGGACAGATGGGGGCCGCTCGGGACGAACTCGCGAAAATAAGGGCAACGAGCAGACGCTGAGACGGAGGAAGCCGCGGGGCCTCCGGCTGAGCCCGGGGCGAGTGTCCGGGAAGGCGGGACAGGACGCCGCCCGGGCGACACGGAGCGACCCTGACCCCGAGGGACAGGTGCCCCCGCGGAGAAGCCGCCCAGGCGATGGGAGCGCCTCCGGGATCTCATCCCGTTTTTATAAAACGCGCGCTGTACTCCTGGAACTGCTGCGATATAAGAAAACTTAAAAGCTAGAATGAACTGTTCGTTTAACTGGAAATAAGATGATTCCCACGCATTAATTTCCAAGTTGCACAATGTTCCTGACTTACGTTAACGTTACTTTAGCGCCGGCAGCGCGGCCCCAGCCCAGGCCTCCCGCTCCCGGTCCCTGGCGCGCACGGCGCTCCTGATGGCCGTCCCCGCGGCCCCGTCCGCCCGCCCCAGCCGGACAGTGAGCCCGCCGGGCAGGGCCGGGCACCGCGCCAGGGGCCCCAGGACCCACCGCCGCGTGCGGGCCCGTCCTTCCCCGCAGGCCCTGCCCGCCCGCCCTCCGAGCGCCAAAGCCCGGGCCCCGCGGCCCCTCGCGGCCGCTCCTCCACCAGCCGCCGTCGCTCGGCGCCCCAGCCCGGCCAGGCGCCAGGTTGACAGCGAAGCGCGAACCTCCAGAGCCCGAGCGCGTCCTGGGAGCGCCGGTCCTCCGATGCCCTCGGTTCCCTTGGCAACCGTCGCCAGGGGCAACGCCCCGGAAGTGGGGACGCGCCTGCGCCGAGGGAGCCGTCCGCGCCTGCGCCCCGGGGAGTGGGTGCCGCGCTCGGCATGGCGGAGCCGGAGCCGGAGGCGGAGCAGATCCGCCTCAAGTGCGTCCGCCAGGAGGGCTTCTTCACGGTACCTCCGGAACACAGGGTGCGTCGGGGCGCTCGGGGGAGAGCCGCGCTCGCTGCGGACGGGCGGCGCCGACGAGCCCGGGCCCTCAGTGTCGCGCTAAGGCGCCGCGGTTTCCGGCAGGGCGGGACGGCAGTCCCAGAGTTCCTCGCGGCCGGCGCGGAAGCCGGCGCCCACCCCGGCGAGGAGGGGCGGTCCGGGCTCGGGCGTCCTCACGGGCGTGTTTTAGAGTTTTGCGCCCCGGAGCACCTTGTGTCGGAGGAGGGTTTGCTCGGGGGCGCGGTCCCGGCCCCGCCTCCCTGTCCCGTTGCCGCCGGCACCATGGCCGCCCCTTTGGTGGAGGAGGAGGGGAACCCTGGCGGCGGGACTGTGGTCTCCCTGGCGCCCCGAAAGGCCCCGTCCGCACCCGGAGGGTCACCCACGGCCCGCGGCGGAGCGGGCGCTGCACCCCCAGCTGCGCCCAGTGCGGCCGCGTCCCCGGCTCGGGGCGCTGGGCGCTGAGACGCACCCCGATGAGGACGCAGCCGGGTGCACAGCAGGAGGCGGTTCAGGCAGCTGCCCGCCTCTCCGAGGAGCACCTTCCCGGGGGCGGGAGCAGTCAGGGGGGAGGGCCGGAGGGGGTCAGGGGGAGGAGGGGGAGGCGGGCACCGAGGGGCGTCCCCAGTCCCCGCTTGGCCCCCAGGCGTTAGCCAGCGGCGCGTTGGGGGCAAGGCTTGGTCAGGGAAGAGGCGGGGGCCAGGGAGGAGCTGTTGGAGTCCAGTCCTACCCGGGCGCCCGCCTGTGGTGTACCCCTAGGAGGGTGTGTTGGGGTACCAGCTCTCTGCTAGGACAGAATGTGCTTTACTTCCCTCTCCCCTGACCCTCCGGAGGGGCGGCTGTTTAGCACAAGGTGGGCCAAGCACTCGGGTTGGCCAGGACCTAGTCACATGGGCGCACCCAGCTGCAAGGGAGGCTGGGAAACAGCCACCCCCGGGGGCTGCAGGCCCCTGCGCCGCCTTTCACAGCTCGGAGGAGGCAGTGAGGCCCGCGTGCAGGGGCAGGAGCCTCTGCCACAGACACATTCCCCCCGGGTCGGTATTCCTGACGCTTTGCCATCTGCGGAGCACACCGAGGCTGGCGCCGCGCAGACTTGCTGTGGCGATGGGACTGTTTTCTGATTCGTCCAGTTTGGTCCCCATGAGCCACTTGAGGCCGTTGAACACTTCCCGTGTGGCTAGTGCAGCTGAGGAGGGGAACTTGTCATTTTGGCCACAGCTGGCCGGTGGCTACCTTGTCAGGCAGGCCCGCCTGGGCCGTGGGATCGAAGGGCGCGTTGCCTGCCCAGCATCTCGTCCCCCTTTTCTCATCTCACAAGCCCACGTGTGGCTACCTTTCTGCCCGGTGAGTGAGACCTCAGTGGTGCAAAGAAAGTGTGAAATACCTGTCTTCAGTTGTTCCATCCGCTGCCAAATCCTCGCACTACCAGCCCCTCTCTCACAGCTGGGACGGTGCCGGAGCGTGAAGGAGTTCGAGAAGCTGAACCGCATCGGGGAGGGCACCTACGGCATCGTGTGTGAGTGGCCGAGGTGGGAGGCTGGGCCTGGGACCGTCCCACAGAGGCTGTCAGGGCCGGCAGGAGCCGGGATGAAAGCCTGTGCAGGTGATTACCCGTCTGGATCGCCGTCAGGCTGCTCCCGGGTAACCACGAGTGGCCCCGTTGCAGTAGTTAGTGCAAAACTCGCCAAGAGCGCACAGCAGCCGGACGCCGGTGTGCATCCCACCGCTGAGTATCTCACAGGCCGCACAGTGCTCTGCGGAGCCATCTTTGTGCAAAACAAGGCTCCTTTGTAGATAAAGTACCTGGTTTGGTGTGAGAACGTGGTAACAACAGAGCTCCAAGCGGTGATCTGCATACCCACTCAGGGAAACTTGGAGGGAGCTCTTTATAACTAGGCACCCTGTGCCCAGGCAGGCGAGGACTCCCCAGGAGCACGTGTCTAGTGGGGCCACGGGTGTTGGGTTGCAACTGGGCTCCTGGTTGTCAAAGAGAAAGGGAGCCCAGGCATCCGGAAGAGGCCGTGTGGTACAAGGGCGTGCGCTCGGGGGCGGGTTGCAGTCCACCACGGATGAGTTTCCTCCCAGATCGGGCCCGGGACACCCAGACGGACGAGATTGTCGCCCTGAAGAAAGTGCGGATGGACAAGGAGAAGGATGGTGAGCAGGGCAGGGACACCAGCTCAGAGTGGGCGGGGCAGAAAGGTGCAGGTTGACTGAGGCTCCCTGAGGACTGGACCCCGGTGCTGAGAGTGCCCGGCGGCCCTCTGGGAGCATCTGTGTGGTGGTTGGAGGGGCTGGTCTGTGAGGGCCCCAGGTCGTCACCCCACCCTCTGGGCTGCAGTCCTCCGTCTCCCTCCTCATCTGTCTCAGCTCCCAGCCCCCACAGGGCCTTCCCCTCCCCAGGCCCGGAGGCAGCCCCTGTGCGCACACCCCGCACCTCCCTGGCTGCCCCGGGGCAGGGCTCACAGCCCCTCACCTCCCTGGCTGCCCCGGGGCAGGGCTCTGGGGTGCTCACAGTGGCCCGTTCTTCATAGCGGTCAGTGCAGAGAGCTGCTGCTTTGCATCTGACGCAGAAAGGACGGCCTCAGTTCTTCTGAGCGAGCACTGGGGCCCTGACTGGAGGGCGGGGCTCGCTGAGGGCGGGGTGCAGGGGTCCTGTCTGCAGTGGGCTTGCTGAGCGTGTCCGGTTGCAGGGGTCCCCATCAGCAGCCTTCGCGAGATCACGCTGCTCCTCCGCCTCCGCCATCCAAATATCGTGGAGCTGAAGGAGGTGGTGGTGGGGAACCACCTGGAGAGGTGAGCATTCTGGCCTCGCACAGCCCTGCCCCGCCCTCTGCCAGCCCCCCACCCCTGGCGAGGAGGTGGAGGTGGCCTGCGTGCTCCCTTTGCTTCTTCCAGCATCTTCCTGGTGATGGGCTACTGTGAGCAGGACCTGGCCAGCCTTCTGGAGAACATGCCAACGCCCTTCTCGGAGGCCCAGGTGCGAGGGTGGGGCCCTGAGGGCTCTTGACGGGTCCTTGTCCAACACATTGGTGCCCGACAGGGCCCGCCCTGACCTCCTGGCCCTCTGCACAGGTCAAGTGCATCGTGCTGCAGGTGCTGCGGGGTCTCCAGTACTTACACCAGAACTTCATCATCCACAGGTGGGGGCTCTGGGGGGCCTGAGGGGGGCAGGGCCTCAGGTGCTGGGATGGCATCAGCCTGGAGGAGGGTGGAGTCTTGGGCATTGTACTGGCTTTGACCCTGTACTGACCCCGGCTTCCAGTGCGCCGCTGCCCAGGGTCTGAGAGGAGCAGGAGCAGACAGGCTCGGTGCAGTGGAGGTTGTCTTGATGCTCCTGGGGAAGCATCAGGACAAAATAACACCTCCTGCTCTGATGGTGTGAGTGAAGTCAAGGCTCTGAGAAGTCCCGCAGTGGAGAGCCTGCCTGGGGTCTTGTGTCACAGGCCAGGAAAGGCCCAGACTTGGGGGGTGGGGGTGAAGGGGGACCATCTGAGCCCAGAGCAGGACTCTGCAGGCAGCAGCTCCCTGTGCCCTGGGGCAGTTTGTGCTGCCCTGGGCGGGGAGCCAGGGCAAGACTGGAAGTTAGATGTGGGCTCGAGGCCTGGCTCTGCCACTTCTCAGATCCTTGAGAGCTCAGGTGTCCAGCTGCCTTTTCTGCCTGCCCTCCTCATTTAATAAGTTCACGCAGGAGATGTGTGGGAGAGCGTTCCGAGTGTTACCATGATGATGACAAGACTACCGGTGGCGGTCACGGGACCCTGACGTTCCCTTTCTGTCACAGGGACCTGAAGGTTTCCAACTTGCTCATGACCGATAAGGGTTGCGTGAAGACAGGTGGGTGCGGGTGCTGGCTCTGAGGTAGGTGTCTCTGTGCCTGCCGCCTTGCTGGGGGGCGGGGAGGGCAGATCTGTCCTTATAAGCTCCCTGAAGGCTATGAGCCGGCCCCTCACTGGGTGACACCCCTCCCTCCTGTCGGCCTGCCTCCGTCACAGCGGATTTCGGCCTGGCCCGGGCCTGTGGCGTCCCCGTGAAGCCAATGACGCCCAAGGTGGTCACTCTGTGGTGAGTCCCTGGGCCGGGGTGTGCCCGGTGGAGGTGTGTCGGGGGGTCCCTGCCGGCCTTTGAGCTGCACACACTGGAGGTTGGGTCTGGGGCAGCTCCCGGCAGCAGGACACCCAGCCTGGCTCTGTGTCGGGAAGGCGGTTGCTACCCTGCCTGCAGGACGGGGTGGCCCACGTGGCTGACTGTAGCTGCTCACTGCGTTTCCAGAGGCAGCTCAGGGGCGTGGCTAAAGGGAAGACACTGGAGTCGGATGCCTCCTGCCATGTTACTCAGTCCCGTCTCTGAGACGGCGGACAGTAGGCCTGCCTGAGGACCCAGTGCTGTCTGGGACGCACACAGGAGCTGTCCAGCAAGGGCAGCTGTGTCCAGGTGCTGCTCGCATGGGCAGAGCTTCCCAGGAAGGCGGGCTTGGTGGTGTCAGCAGTCCTGCTGCCCGGGACGTCTCGGGCTCCACTGGTGGCTGGTGGGTGGGCTGCACCGGTTCGCTGTGCCCTGTGGACGCCCAGGAGCACCGGGCGTGAGGTGGGCGCTTCTGTCTGCAGGTACCGAGCCCCGGAGCTGCTGCTGGGCACCACCACGCAGACCACCAGCATCGACATGTGGTGAGGGCAGAGGTCGTGTGGGCGCCGTCTGGGCGATGGGGCTGGCATCTGCTCCCAGCTCAGGGAGGTGGCCTGCGCCTGGGATCCCCAAGGGAAGCCCCCAGCACTGAGGTCCACAGGAGGCCCTGCCCTGCAGTCACCAGAGGCCTGCTGGGCCCATCTATGGCCACCCCATGTGACCTCTGGAGCTCCAGCCCGTCCCAGGGCCGCGTCGGGGTGGTGCTAACAGGTGTGTGAGGTGAGGCACTGCTCTGCTCTGCAGGGCCATGGGCTGCGTCTTGGCCGAGCTGCTGGCCCACAAGCCCCTTCTCCCGGGCACATCTGAGATCCACCAGGTGGACCTGATCGTACAGCTGCTGGGGACACCCAGTGAGAACATCTGGCCGGTGAGCACCCAGCCTCTGCCCTCCCCCTCCCTGCACCCCTCCTGCCCCCACTGGGCCTGCCCCTGCAGCTCCGCTCCCATCCGCAGGGCTTCTCCCGGCTGCCGCTGGTCAGCCAGTACAGCCTGCGGAAGCAGCCCTACAACAACCTGAAGCACCGGTTCCCGTGGCTTTCCGAGGCCGGCCTGCGCCTGCTGAACCTGCTGTTCATGTACGACCCCAAGAAAAGGTGCTGACCACGGGCAGGGGGCGCTGCACCGGGCCCTTTGAAGAGGGCTTCTCAGAACACAGGCCGTGCCGCCACCAAGGGTCCCTCCAGACACATGCGTGGCGAGCCAGGTGCCCAGTTCTGTGGTCTCTGTCCACTCAGATCACGGAGGCCACTGTGAGGTTCCCATCACTTTCTGGGCCCCAGCCCCCTTCCTACCCACCTTCTGTTGCTGGGAAATGGAAACCAGGGCTGCCGGGTCGGGCAGCTGTTTGGGGGCCCAGCCTGAGCGAGGGGTGCTCACGGCAGACTGTCCCCCAGGGCGACGGCCGGGGACTGCCTGGAGAGCTCCTACTTCAAGGAGAAGCCCCTGCGTGAGTCCCCAGGACCCTCAGGCTCCGTCTGCAGAGCTCTTGGCTGGTGGTCTTTTTCGGGGGGGGGGGGGGGTGCTTGGGACTGCCCCAGAGTTCCTCAAGCCCCAGCTTGTGATGTGGGGGTGGGGGGCACTCCCAGCCCAGACCCATCCAGATGGCCTGCTGGCCCTGCATGGGCAGCCGCTGGACACTGGGCACACATACTATCTGCAGGTCATAGGGGAGCAGAGGGAGGTGCAGGGGGGCTCCAGGCACCTGAGGTGAATGCCAAGTACCGCCAGTGCTGACGCCCCCTCCCCACAGCCTGTGAGCCGGAGCTCATGCCCACCTTCCCTCACCACCGCAACAAGCGGGCTGCTCCCGCCGTGTCTGAGAGCCAGAGCAAGCGCTGCAGGCCCTGATGCAAGGCCCCTGCCGGCCAGGCTGACGGCTCCCGAGATCCAGCTGGACCCTCGGCCCAGGACTCACCAGCTGCTTCAGCCGACCGCTCCGATTCCTGCCTCCTCACCCACCACTGCCCCCGACAGCAGGGTGTGCACTGGTGATGTGGATGTGGGCGCCCTGAGCTGTGGTGGCCACACCTGGGGCCCTACTAGGTTCTGCCTATTGCCTCACCCTGGGCTCCTAGCAGCTCTGGAAGCACCCATGGGGCTCATCTTAGGGGTGTTGCTGGCAAGGGGCGTGTGGAGGGGTCGGGTGTGGGTTGGACCTGGGTCTGGGCCATGACCACTTGGAGACACCAGAGCAAATGCCCTCCTGGGGGCAGAGCCCCAGGGGAGGGTACGGTTGGTGCTACAGGAACTGAGATAAAAGCTTTCCTGACAGACGCAGGCGGTTCTGTGTCCTTTAATGTGTGGAGGTTCTGTCCTATGACAAGTACTGGGAAAGGGGTGGGGTGGACAGGAGGTGGCACCCGCACCGAGGGCTGTGGCAGGCACAAACATTTACCATTGGGCCTGGGGTGGGCTTCATGGGAAGTCTGGGGGCTGTGCCCAGAAGTGACTGAGAACCGGTCCAGGCTCCAACGGCCCCCACCTGCTGCTGCCTGCTCTCCAGAGCTTGGGCACTGCCTCTCCAGTTTGAGATCAGATCATCTCTCCTCCATCCATGACCCAGCTTCCTGCACAGCTATGACCAGGGCACATGTCCAGCCAGTGCTGGCCTGTGACACCCACAGTGGGGCCAGGTCAGCCACGCACCTGGCAGAGCCCTCTGGACGCCTGGTAGGAGGCAACATGTCCCAAATCGGAACTGCAGGGAGCATCGGGGGCTCCAGGCGGACCATGGGGCCCACGGTAGGGCGGGGGAGGTCCTTCATGGGGACAGGCTCGGGTGCCTTGACACGGTCAGGTGGGCTAGACCTACGCAGCACGGTCGGGCGTGGGTCTGAGTGGTGGGGTCTGGGTAAGAGGAACTTTCCATGGGAGGCAAGACCCCATCCACCTGTGGAGCCTGGGCTCTTCTGTCCAGGGCGCAGTGGCCGAGGCTGGGAAGGGACAGGGGCAGAGAAGCACCACGGAAACACTGGGGAAGCCCTTGACCAGGGGCCTGGCTGGGCCTAAGGCCGGGCCCCAGGGCTGTCGTAGAGCAGGGTGTCCACCTCCGCGCGCTGCAGCCACAGGCGCTGGTGGGCGTCGCCAAGCAGCGCGCGGAGCTCGTGGCCCAGGCGGCAGGCGGGCAGGGCCGCGCAGTGGGCAGTGTGCAGCTGGCGGCAGGTGTCGCAGCAGCGCGTGGGCAGGACGCCAGGGGCCAGGCAGCTGTGCACCTGGTAGCCAGCGGGCTCGGCGATGGGCCTCTGCACGTGCTGGGGGCTGGGGCTCCCAGGGGCTGGGGGCGCAGCCAGGTCCCCGGGCCGACTCAGCAGCTCTCGGCGCAGGGAGAGGAAGGAGAAGGCCTCGGGCTCGGGCTCCTCCTCCTCCAGGGCCCCGTAAGGCGGACTGCGGGGCGGACTGCTGACCCGCTGCAGTGCCTCCCCCTCCTCCATGGGCTCCCAGGCCTCCCCCTGAGGGCCCCACAGTTTGGCACTCTGTTCCCAAGGCAGAGGCCGGTAGGCCGGCTCCACGGAGGGGGAGCCTGGGCCTGGAGAGGGCCCTCCGTACAGGCTGGCATCGTCTGAGTCCGAGTCCGAGTCCTCCTGCAGGTCCCGGTACAGGTCCAGCTGGGCCCGGAAGACGGCAGGGGAGCCGCGGGGGGGCAGGGGCGGCGGCTCCTCTTGGCGGGCCAGCCGCTGCTGCAGCCAGGCCACACAGGAGGCCACGTCCCCGCTCGCCCGCCGTGCCTGCAGCAGCTCCTCGGCCGGCAGCACACTGGTGCCCAGCTGCGCCAGCACCTCGCCCAGGATCTCACACTCGAGCCGCAGGGCGAAGCAGCCCAGGGCCACCTGCACCAGCTGGTGGGCGGGGGGCAGGGCAGTCACCGTGAGGCAGTGGCCGTCCCTGGGCACGTAGCCCATCTTCTGGAAGCTCTGGATGAGGAGGTCCTCGGACAGCGCACCCTTCAGCACGTGCACGTAGCCCCCTGAGAACGTCTGCAAAGGAGGCCGGTTAGCAGCAGCCCGGCCCGCACTCGGCCCTGGCCACTCGGCCACACCCGCTCCGATGGCAGCCTGGTGCCAGCGACCGGGGCAGCCCCCTCACCACAGTTTAAGAAATGGTTCAGAGGTCAGAACACACTAGAGCCCCCACACTGAGAAATCCACTGCCTTCCGGGCTCCAGGTGGGTAAGTGCTTCACGGACGGCAGGGTTGTGTGCACGACAAGAAAACCTGCTGAGATGGCGACCTGCTGGATCCCTCTGCAGCTCCAAAACCCACAGCCCTGGGACCATGAGCCCTCCTCGGCTCACAGCGGTGCCAGCGCCTCGCAGCCAGGAGGAGGCAGAACCAGACCTCCCCCAGGTCTGCCCAACACCAAGGCCCAGGAGCGCCTCAAGGGCAGGCCTGTTTTCTGCTCTCAGCCTCCCCTGGGGCTGGCCCCGCACGCCCCCACCCTCCACCCTACCCTCTGAATGGATGAATGAAAGTCCTAGAACCTCAGACCAGCTTGTGTCCTCTGTGAGCAGTGGGTTCCAGAGCTCCTCTCCCCAGAAAGGCTGCCGCTGCCATGACAACTGTGGAGGCCACTCGCCCACGTGCCCAGTGACATCATCACCTCCCTGCACTTCCGAATTAAGCACCAGCGCCTGCCCCCTTCTGCTGGCGGCTGCTCATCTACAGGGGCCAGGCCATCCCCGAGCACAACCGCCCTACCTGGGCCAGGGGTGAGCTAGGCGCATGCCCAGCCTGCGCTCCCCCCCCCCACCTCCCCCCCAGCCCCTGCCTGCTTTCCCAGGGCACACCCCCTGGCTTCAATCTCTATCAAGGGGATCAGCCCACATCCTGGAGGAATGAGGGCGACCATGGAAACTCGAGTCCTTCCCGTGGGCTTGTCCTAGGATTTTTATGGCAGCTTTGGGGAGGGCAGTGATGGAAGCTTTCAGGGGCAGGAGCCACCCAGGACGCAGGCACCCTGGGGTGGTCTCCACCCACCCACCCCCTGTTCTCAGCGCTGGGAGTGCCCACGGGGCCCTCGGCCCAGAGCTGACCCAACACACGCAGGACCCCTCAGCGCGCTCTGCGCCCCGAGACCAGGGGCTGAGGACCCCAGAAACCCCTCACCCCCACGCCTGGTCAAGAAAGCGCCATCCTCGTCGCCGGCGCCCACCTTGATGGTGGTGAACTCCTTCCTCCAGGGCAGCAGGTACAGGTGCACGGCCGCCAGCTCCAGCAGCTCGAAGGCGCGGGCCAGGCCGCGCAGCGCGGGGGCCAGGTCGGCGCGGCCCCACAGGCCGTCGGAGAGCAGCGCCAGCGCGTCGTCCTGCAGCGCCCCGTGCAGGTCGAAGTCCTCCACCAGGATCTGCCAGAGCACCGCGCGCAGCGACGGGTCCCCGCACACGCCCGCGCGCCCGCGGCGCAGCTCGCGCTCCAGGCACTGGCGGTAGTCCTCGGACAGCGAGCTGCTGCCCATCCTGGGGGCGAGGGCCGGGCTGAGGAACCGGGACCCCTGCCCGCAGCTGTGCGCCCAGAGCCCCCGCCCAGCACCCACAGGACCCGTCCAGCCCGGGACCCAGTCCTCACCGGCCGACCGGCCCGGGTACCTATTGCAACCCCACCTGGGGCCCCACCCGCCCCGTCCCGCCCTCCAGCGGAGTCCCCCCCGGAACAGAGGGCCCCTCCCCGGTAGCTCTGCGTGAGCTGCAGGCGACCCCCTACCTGTCGGTCCCCAGCGGTCCCCGGGCGCCCACCGCTCAGCTCGGCCTCTCCCCAAGCAAAGCGCTTCCGCCCGGGGCCGGCTCCGCCCACCGGCCTCGGCCGTGACGCGCGGGGCGGGCCTTGAATCAGTCGCCACCGCCTCTGCTAACACCGGCCGGGCGGGGCCTGTCCGTTCCCGCCGGTCCCCGCGGTGCCCGTCCACCTCGAAGCCGGCGCGGGGCACAGCGGATCCCCCGCCGGACTGCGAGCTCAGCGGACACTCGGTAAACGAGGGCGTCCCAGCGGCGGTCCCACCGGGCAGGGCGCCGGGCTCAGAGGACCGACGGGCCAGGGTGCAGGAGCGCAGGTTCCTCGCGAACCGCCGGCGGGGATCTCCTCTGGCGGGCGGGCCCCTTCGCCCTCCCCGGCGAGGTGAGTGGGCGGTGCGGGCCCGTCGGTCCTGGGCGCTGGTGGGCAGCGGCCTCCAGCCCACGGGGATCCTGACAGGACGGCGGCCCCGGGTGCCCACGGGCTTGCTGGGCTCAGACCCAGGCCCCTCGCCATAATATGTGGGCGGCGGAGGGACTGCACTCTCCGTGGCTGGTGCGAACCTGAAGAAGCCCTAGAACACGGTCTGGCCCAATAAATGCCACTGTTCCTGTTTTTGTAAGAGCTTTTCCCAAAGAGCCTAGCACTGCGCCCACGACCAGCACCTGCTGTGCTGGGGCCCTGCCCCCCCCCCCCCCGTGGCCTCCAGGGTGCTGGGGGGGGGGGTGTCCTCCCTCACTGGCAGGTGCTGCCCATGCCTGGGCCCAGACACCTGCCCTCTCCTCTCCGTGAATCGGAGGTACCACTGCCCCATGTGCTCCCACCTGGAGTACAAAACAGCGTTCTGCCCAGGTGTGACCTCCAACCCTGTTACCCCACCAGGCCCTGCAGAGCATCCTGTCCCAGGGGCCCACCCCAGGCTGTCCCACTCCTGCAAAGAGGGTGCGGGGGGCAGGCCTGGTGTCGTGGATCTCATCGGTCTCTGGGAGTATGGCTCTTGCTGGTCAGTAGAGGGGGTGCTGTCCTGCCTATGCCTCTGCCCACAAGCGTGGGGAGCAAGCAAGCTACACGGAGGGAGACATCAGTGACTCTTTATTTTCAGCAGGTCAGTGGCTGCTGGGGGCACGGAGAGTCAGAGCAGGCCTCAGCTTCCCACCCACCCAGAGGGGATGTGCAGGGGCAGGAACTTGCCAGGGGGTGTTGGATGCCCTCTGCCATGGGGAGGGGGGGTGTGGCTCAGAGTCGGCAGGCCTGGGCAGGTCCCTCAGGGACGCCTGGGCCTCCAGGGGAGAGGAGTGGTCATGTCCAATAAATAAGCAGGCAGTTTCAAACCACTGGGCCCCGGCCTCCAGGGCAGGGGCTGACAGGCTCTCTTCTTGATTCAGACAAGAACTGGCTCAGGGAGCTGTCACAGGGGCAGAAGGTCCACGCCCTGGCTCTGCCCTTGTGCCCAACCGGGGAGCCCACAGCTCTCTGGGGAGAGCGAGAGGGCCTCTCGGAGGCCGAAACAGGGAAGAGAAGGGCCTGGCTCAGCTTGGCCCCGTCCTGCCAGGAGCAGCTCCTCGGGCAGATGTAAGGTAGGATGGGGCGGAAGCTGCAGAGCCCGGTGAGGTGTCCCATCTCCTCTACTTGCCCAGGGCCCCCCGGGGCAGCAGCTCCACATAGCTCAGGGCGCTCTGCAGGGACGTTAGGCAGTAGCCCCCCTCTCCAATCAGATACCTGTGGGACAGCGTCTGTCACTGAAGGAGGCCCCGGAGTTCTAGAAGGGGCACCTGCCCTCAGGGGGCAGGACCAGGGGCTGTCAGGGAGGCTGGGTGGGGGGGCAGCCCACTCCCCAGGCGGATGCTGCTCAGAGCTTGCCCCACTGTCCCCCACCCCCAATCGAGGGGTGTGCTGAGCGAGGGGTGGCAGAGAGAGGCTGGGGGAGGGGTCGTGGGCCATGTGTACGGTGCCTGCCCGGCTCCCAGCCCGGACCCTACCCCTCATGGATGAACTCCTCCAGAGCAGCGCACTCCGACACCAGCTGGGGGAGGCCGCTTCTCAGCACCACGAAGGACAGGATGGGCAGGAGGTCGTCGGCGCCACTGTTGACAAAGGCACGCTGGCCCGGGGCTCCGGGGCCGTGGGGCTGCTCCATCCCCAAACCGCGAAGCCCCAGCTCAGCCCCCGCTCAGCCCCCGGTGTGGTCCTGCGTTTACTGCTGCTCTCTCTGCACCCATCCGCCCAGAGCACCCAGGAGCAGCTGGGCCAGCCCCAAACAAGCTCCATGGGGCAGGTGGGCAGCTTTAACCGCAGAAGCTTGCCCCAGCCTGGGGAGCAGGAGATGGAGGGGAGGCCCAGGTCCCGGGCAGCCTGCTCTCTCCTGAAATCACGTGTCACTCAGCTGAGCACGCTGACCCTGACCCTCTGTGAGAGGAGTCTGAGTGAGCTGAGAGGGGAGTGAGGCCCGGGGGGCTCCCCAGAACCTCAACCCCACGGCCCCACGACCAGTGCTCTCTGGGGAGAGCAAGAGGGCGGATTGTGGCTGGCGTCTGATAGGAAGGCCTCTCACACCATGAGCTCCTGCTCGTGGCCTTGCCCCATGTCCCATGGGCACCGCACAGCTGCAGGGACACAGGCCGGTGCCCACAGAGACAGCTGTGGGGCTGCAGCCAGGCTAACACTTCCAGTCCTGGAGCTGAGCCACTGCAGGGACTCGCTTGGAAGCCAGATGACAAACTGGGGAAGGGGCCTGTGGAGCCAGCCGAAAGCCCTGCCGACCCTGCACTGAGGCCCAGCACCTGGCCCTGGGGGGCGGGGGTGGCACTGGCTCCCACTTTTCTGCCGACCTCACACTCAGCTCTGATTTCTACCTGCCCGTCACCTGCAGGCCCCTGGGTGTGGGGAGGTGCCACAGCCTGCCCACCAGGCTGCAATGATTGGTGCCTTCAGGGTGACCCTGGTCCCAGGGGCAGGGTGGCAGGAGGCAGCGCCCTGCAGGGGCTATGGGAATGCCAGTCCCAGATGGACAGCAGAGCAGGAGGCTGCAGACCACAGGCAGGACCAGGCATGAGCGCCCCCAGCTGCAGCACCTGGGGCGGAGGGGCAGGGACGATGCAGGAACCCCAGGGCAGGGAGCAGGCTCTTCACTAAGCTCAGGCAGCTTCCCCCAGGTGTGCATGGAGGGACGAAGCACATACATCTGGGGTGAGCAACCCTGAATATCATCAGATTAGCCAGCGGGTCCCTGGCCATCACGCACCCCAGGCCGTGCCCTCCCGGACTCACATGGCGGCCGCGCCAGGTTGTGGTCTCGCCTCAGGTGCAGGCTCCTGGGCCCAGTAGTAGCCCTCAGCACAGGCACAGATGACCCGCAGGGCCCGCACTGCAGCACAGAAGCGAGGTTTAGGGTGAGGACAGGGGCAGCCAGAAGAGCCCCAGCACTGCCCCACACCCATCGTGTGGGTGATCCCTCCCGTGGGCATCGCGCTCACACCACTCATGTCCCATGGAACACACCCCGTTCGCCAGGAGGAGACCTGCAGCTCAGACAAGGCACACAGGCCCGGTAGCCAGCTGGGACAGGACCGTGGCTAGTGTGACCACGCCCCCTCCTCCCAACTCCCCAAGGCTGGTGTGACCAAGCGCCTCCCCTCCCCAAGGCTGGTGACCACGCCCCCTCCTCCTCCCTCCTCACTAAGGCTGGTGTGACCACGCCCCCTCCTCCCTCCTCCCCAAGGCTGGTGTGACCACGCCCCCTCCTCCTCCCTCCTCACTAAGGCTGGTGTGACCACGCCCCTCCTCCCTCCTCCCCAAGGCTGGTGTGACCACGCCCCCTCCTCCTCCCTCCTCCCCAAGGCTGGTGTGACCACGCCCCCTCCTCCTCCCTCCTCCCCAAGGCTGGTGTGACCACGCCCCCTCCTCCCTCCTCCCCAAGGCTGGTGTGACCAAGCCTCCCCTCACCAAGGCTGGTGACCACACCCGCTCTCACCAATGCAGTCCAGCTTCTTCTGGGGACAGCACTCCAGGACCAGCAGCCCCAGCTCCTGGGCAGCAACGCCGTAGGGGTAGGTGCCAGCTCCCAAGGCCTCAGGGTCCCGAGGGAGCAGTTTGGGGGGGATGCCAAGGGCTGCTGGGGGTGCATTACTGTAGAGCTCCATGCTCCTGCTCAGGGCAGCCTCCCGGGGGCGGTACACACTCCTGCAGCGGAGAGAGGCCAGGCTCAGCTGCCCAAGGGACCCTGGCCGGGACAGGCAGGGTGGGGCGAGCTGGCCCTGCCCCCAGTCCCAGGAGGGTGGATGCGCCACCACGGGCAAAGCTGAGGATGCGTCGGAGTAAAGCACCGTTAGCAGTCACAGCTCTGGCCGGGATGGGGCGGGCGGTGACACACGGGGAACCTGGAGGGGCCCGGGGCTGGGATGCACCTGTAGAGGGCCAGCAGCAGGGGCCAGAGTGGGGAGAAGAAGGGCTCCTCGATGCAGGCCAGGCAGCGGTCCTTGGAGACGGCTGTGTTGAGGCCTTCGAAAGCCAGGAGGGTCAGCGAGAGCAGCCTGTCTGCCGGGACAGAGCCGACACACGGCACTGTGGGCCAGCTGGCAGCCCCCGGACGTCACCCAGACGAGTCCTCACCCACCACCTTCTCTGCCTCCCAGAGCCAGCCTCCGTGTGCTGGGGCCACAGTTAGCCTCCTGGCTCAGTGGGGAGGGCCGTCTGCCTGGCCCTCTCTCCACTCCCCTCCCATCACCCCCTCCTGTGTCTAAGTGGCCTAGGGTCAGAGCTGGAGTCTGGGCCCTCATCCCTGGGTGCTCACAGGGTCTTACCCAGCCCCACCCCCGAGGGGCCAAGGAAGTGGCCTGGGAAGGAGAGCAGGAAACAGGCTCTTTTGGGGAAGGAGCCTGGAGAAGCTTTAGAAGCAAATCCAAGGACAAGAAATCTGAGGCCCAGAGAGATGGAGCACCCTCCTGGGGAGGAGGGAGACCTGCTCAAAGAGATGGGGACCTCCTGGGATGGGGGACCTCCTGGGATGGGGGACTGCCCGGTCCCTTGGAGAGCGTGGCCCACAGTGAGAACAGGGCCCCTGTCGGGCTTCGGTTCTGGTTCTGAGAAACCCTGACAGCTCCCTCCTTGGGACTGGGAAGTCACTGGCCACCTGGGCCCCCCGCAGGGAGCCCACACACTCTGGGGAGGAGCCACCGTCAGCCTCGGGCTGTGCCTGGCAGCCTTGGTCTGGAAGGACGAGGACGTGAGTCCAGCCCAAGAGACAGCAGGGCCACTGGCGGCGAGGCCCTGAGGATGGACCTTCCCAACCACAGACTGCGGGGGGCCAGGCGTGATCCCCGGGCAGCCCAGACACAGCAGGGACTGAGGGAATCCAGACCACAGCCAGACCAGCTGCTCCGGAGGCGGGAGGGGGCCTGCCTGCTGGCAGGATGTGTGGCTCAGAGGAAGGTGGAGGGGAGGGCCCTGCAGGTCGGGGCTGGCCTGGCTGCCGTCCCAGCAGCTCCCACCGCCCGCCTGTCCGCGGAGCCCTCACCGACCGCGTTGTGAACGTCCTTCACGATGCTCTTCAGCGGCTCCAGCAGCGGCTCCTCCTTCACCCCTGAGGCCTGAGGGTCAGTCCCCCGCCCAGGGCCCTGGCCCCCCCTCTCTGAAGTGGCCAGGAACTGTTCCAGGTCCTCAAAGGAGCTGTCCTTGCGCACCAGGGGTGAGGGAGACCCCTTAGGGCTGCTGTCTGCCCCTCTGTTGGGGGGCCCGGGCTGGAGTGGGGGCGTGGGGGGACTGGTGGGGGGGCCGGCAGGGGGATGCGGGGCTGGGCTGGGCTCCGGGGGGGACAGCATGCAGTAGAGACTCTGTGAGGGCCGGAGGCGCCGGCTCCCAGGAGCCAGCAGCCCCTCGGCATCAGGGGGCAGGGAGCAGCCGCCGGGGGCTGGGGCGGCCGCGGCACCCCTGCTCACGACGTGGTACAGTGCCCGGTACACCGCACACTGGAGCTTCTTCAGGAGCTGCGCGATGGGGTGGTCGGGAACGCTGCCAGCACAAGCGGAGGCCGTGGGTTAGAGGGACTGCGGCCCCTGGCTGGCCTCGGACCTGGGGGCTGAGCAGCCCGCCCTCCCCACACCCCTCGTCCAACAAGCATCTCGTACTCCTTCCTCCAGAGTCTGGCCCACCCCTTGGAGGAAGCAGAGAAAGGCCCTGAAAGACCACTGGGCAAAGGGGCCTGGGCAGCACGCCCCCGGCCCACGATCACCTCTTCCCCTCCTAGGCCTTCCAGCAGCCAGAGGGCGGGGCCTGAGGACCCTGTACCTGAGCAGGTGGGACACCAGGCTGGTCACCAGTGACAGGTCCCCAGGGCTCCTCTTGAGCTTGGCCTTCCAGTGCTTTGGCCATTCCTGCAGGACAGGAGACCATGGAGGAGAGCACGGGACCCCCACTAAGGGAGGTCCCTCCTTCCACCTCCTCCCCCAGCCCAGCCAGGGCTGCACCCCAAAAGGCCAGGCCTCCTTGTTGATACCTACCCTGGGGTGCAGTGAAGATCCAATGCCATCAGGCCCAGGGGACCCTGTGCCCCACGAGGGGGGAGGGGGGTAACCCTGACCCCAAGGACCCCCACCCGGAGCTGCAGCCCGTGGCCCAGGCACCTGCCCCCGGGACTCACGTGATCTTGCTCGTACTCGAGGATGGCGGTGTAGAGGGCCCGCTGCTCCCGCTCCTCGGGGGTCAGGGTGACCTGACTGCAGAACCTCCTGGGGAGGACGGACGGGGCTGGGCCTCGGGCGCTGGGTGCACCCCCCGGTCCCCCCAGCTGCCCTGAGGCCAAGGCTGGACCGATGGGAGGGGACGCACCTGTTGGCGGCCTCCTGGAGCCGCAGCCGCCGCTCCTCCATCTTCCTTTGCAGCTGGCGCAGAGTTAAGGCCGCATCCGATGCCCTGCACCTGCGCTAAGCCCAGCCGGACTCAGGGTCCAGTGGGCAGGGCACTGCCTCGGCCCTTCAGGAGGTCCGGTCCAGTGATGGCGCTGGAGGACGGGCACCCACTAGCGAGGGAGGCAGGTGACTTGAAGGATGGAGAGGAGTCCCTTTGCTGGGGGGCAGGACGGTCTTTGCCAAGGGGGGTGTGCAGACCATTCCCCGAGCACATGGCTCTCCCGAAGCTGAAGAAGGTCGTGCCCACACCCTGACCCTGTCACCTGCTACTCTCTCCCCCTCCTCCTCCCTCAGCTCAAGGTCACATTCCTGATCCCCCCTCTGGACACAGAGGCTGGTGGACAGAAAGGATACAGTCTCCTCCCGGGCCTTGGCGATCACCAGGTTCTCCATCATCTGCCGCTGCAGGGACAGGGTCTAGGAGGGGAGGGGGGAGTAAGGCCTGCTTCCCTCCCCCAGCAACACAGCCTCCCTGGGGCCTGCTCACCAGCGACGTCTTCTGCAGGGCCTGGCTGGGGTCCAGACGGGCCATCCGGGCTTCATAGGCGGCCTTCAGCTTCTGGTTCTGCAGGGAGGCCTCCTCCAGGGGTGTCAGCTCCCTGGAAACGGGACAAGCTGCTGTCCAGGCCCAGGAAGCCCAGCAATGTTCTGGGGACCCGAGAACCCTTCCCGACCCAGCCCCGAGGCCAGGACGTGAGGGAGTAGCCATGGAGTCGGCAGGAAGTGTAAAGGAGGGAGGGTGTCTGGAGGGACTGGACCACAGCCCCCTGAAATGCGGGTGTCCTGTTGCCAGGACGGCTGACTTTTCACAGGAAGCCAGACCTCAGCCCTTGATGCAATTCAGTCATGTGTGTTCGGCAACAACGTGAGACTCTTAAGGCACCAAGGCACGCGTGAGCAGCCCAAGAAAGGGGCAACCACCTCTACTGGAGAACAGCTCCCACAGCCACCCACCACCAAAGCTTCGGTCCCACCTCTTCCTGCTTTCCTGGGTGGGGGACGGGGAGAAAGGCTGCCCTGGGGTGGAAGCGTTGGGCCTGGCCCTGCCCCAGAGCCCCAGGTGGACGAGCCAGGGGCCTGGAGCCTCCGGAGCAGCCTGAGGCATGGTGTTCCGTGCCCCCAAGCCCCAGCCGTTCAAGGATCAACTGTAATTTGTTGTTACTGTTATCACGTCATGTTTAACACTAATGGTGGTGTTATAGTCTTCATTTAGTTTCTACTTGATTCTTTATTTGCTAGGTCAGATTTTATAATTTCTTGTTCCTGCAGGTATTTCTTTTCTCTGCAGGTATTGTCTTTTCTTTTTTAAAAAAGATGTTTTTATTGATTTTAGGGAGAGAGGGAGGGAGGAAGAGAGAAACATCGATGAGAGAAAAACACTTATCAGCTGCCTCCTGCATGCCCCCTACTAGGGATCAGGCCCAAATCCCAGGCATATGCCCTGTGACCTCTTGGTGCACAGATGACACTCAACTGCTGAGCCACACTGGCCAGGGCAACCTGTGGGCATCGTCACACGTGCTTTTCATTTCTAAATACAGAGAGCACGACTGCTTTACAAGCCGTGCCTGATAACTCGATCCGACAGCTTTGTACTCCGTCCCTGCTGTCATTCCTTCGGTTCCTTACTTCCTTGTGTGCTTGGTGATCTCGGACCCTGTGCCACTTACTTTACGGAAGTTAAAGGAGCTTTTCTCCAAGGACAGTTTGTATGTGTTTCCGCCAGGCACACGGGCATTTCCATCCTGGGACCCATTTCACCTAAACTAGCCCTGCCATGGTGAGCTCCCTTCGCAGGCCAAACCCAGGCTCCGCCCACCTTCCTTGTGCCCGCCCCCCCCCGCCCCCGCCCCCATCTTACTTCTTAGAGCTTTGCGACTCCACCACCTGAAGCCTCTGGAAGATCTCTGGCGGCAGGAACGGGAGCAGCTTCCCCCCTTCGTCTGAGTACACCCGGCGGTGTCGGCTGGTAGGCGAGGGGCCAGCAGCCGCCACGGGCATGGCTGGCTTCAGGCAGGCTTTCCCTGCGAGGCACACAGAGCCACGAATTGGCACAGGGCCCCACAGGCCACAGAGGAGACAAACTTGGGGAGATGGCCCTGCTGGAGACCCACCAAGCTTGGCCACCGTCGACTGGGCTCTCTCCAGACACTGCTCTGCCAGCTTCAGCATCTTCAGGGCATCCGGGGGCACGGGCTCCCCAGCGTCTGGGGCACGGACAGGAAGACTGGTTACCATCACTCATTCACTAACCAGATTCTTGCTGAGATAAACACAAGGGCACGTTGACTGTCTCCTAACCTCTGACTCCCAGGCCAGCCCTCCCACCCCTCACCTCTGACCATTGGCCCTCGGGCTCTGAGCAGGGCCAGCCCAGCATCTGACTGACTGTCCCACTGTCTCAGCTGGACCGTCAGAGCCTCTCTCTACCCAACGGGGCCTTTTCTCCTGAGGACGTCACATGCACCCACAGCCCCTCCAGCAGGTGGGCCACCATTCAGGGACCATTTCACAGAGACAACTTCTTCGCCCACTTTCTGGCCTTCGGCTGTGCTCAGCCCACCCTCACCCTCCCTAGGGCTTCCACTCTATAGACTCTCCTACCAGCAGACACTCGCTGTACGAGCTGCCTCCCCACACCCCTGGACACCACCAGCCCAGGTCCTGACCAACCTCCTGCTCCCTTCACAGCCAGCCCCTCAACACACTCCCACTGAAACTGCTCTCACCCCCACGTCTTCCCTAGTCCCAAGTGCTCCCCAACCTCTCAGGGTCTCTCTCCCCCAGGACACCTCCTGGGCTACTGCCCCAAACTCCTCCCAGTCCTCGTCCTGCAGTCCCCAGACCTCTGCTAAGCTCATTGGCTCCCTAGGGCTGCTCTGACTGTGGTGACTCCCACCTCTCCCCAACCAAGGTGCCCTCAAGCAGAATTCTCCCCCTCCAGCAAGTCTGGTGAAGTCCACCTTCAAAGAACATCCCCCAGGCCATCCACTTCCAGTAGGTCTCACCACTGCTGTCCCCACCATGGGGACCTCCTGGAGGCTCTGCCCCCATGCTGGCCTCTCCATGAGCTAACCTCCTGTGGGAACCACCCCAGCTCCTTGCCTGCCCCTAATGCACGAACCTGCCCCGGCCTGCCTGCCTTTCCTCACACCCAGCACCCACTCTCAGCTCAGGGCTTTTGTTCACCCCTCTGCTGGAAGGCTGCCCCCAGCCTTTGCTTCGGCCACTCCTCCCTGGTCACGTCCTACTCGACTACCCCCCCCCCCCCCATCACATCACACCAGGATAGCTCATGCTGACTGAGTGCCCAGCCATTCACCTTCTGCTAATGACCAAGTGGGTAGGACAGGACACCCCCAGGCCTGAAACCCACCAAGGGCTTAGGTGTCCAAAATCTGACCAGCCCAGGAGCAGCAGTGAGGCTGAGAGCTGTACCTTGGGTGGTTTCCACTTCTTCCAGCAGCACCTGGGAGATGTAGTGGATGCTCCTCAGGTATTCTGCATATGCCTCCTGTGCCCGGGAAGAGAAACGGCAGGGGTCAGGCGGGAGAGGCAAAGGCCTCCATCACGCCGCCTGCCACCCTGGTGGGGAGCACAGAAACGGTGTCTGCTTATCTCGGAGAGAGCCCTGAGCATCCAGCTCAAGGTGGTCGGCTGATTGGCTGGTCTGCCTGGGGCACCGGTGTATCAGTCTTCTCCAGACCCGAAGGGGAAGGTGCCCAGCTGGATCCCCATCCCTTCTCCCTCACCTTTCTCCCCAGCACAGGAAGGAAGTGGCAGGGGAAGCAACTTTGAGAGTTGCTGTCATTTTCCACGCTATGCAACAAGTTTCATTTCTGTGCCCTTCATTCGCTGGCTTGTAAATTTTTTTCTTGGGAGGTTAATGAGGGAGTGCTGCTGCAAATCCTAGAATCTGTTTCCAGCTGGGGTTTTGGGCGATCCCTTTCCTGGACCCCACTGCCCGGTACAGGGGATTCTAGAGCATTGCCAGGTTCAAGGGTGTGGGCATCCTGTCCGGCTGCCTGCACGGAGCCCAGGCGGCACTGGGACTCACAGCATGGTGTGTGTGTGTGTGTGTGTGTGTGTGCGCGCGCGCCCGCTGCATCCCAGTCCCCAAATTATTCATGGTTAAGTCCACACCTCAGAGATGAGGATCCAATGGATGCGGGAAGGGTTTCCGACTTGGGGACAGCAGTGGACGAGGGCCCAGGATGTGTTTCCTGGGCTCGCCCGCAGCCCGCTCCCTCCCTCGCAGCCCGGGCGGCTCGGCCGGCTTTTCCACCCGGCCGCCAGCCTGGCTGACACCCCTCCCGCCAGCGGCGGCGGCGACAGGGAGGGCGCAGCACCGAGAGCCGCACTTAACCTTCTCGGATGCCGCCCCGTGGGAATCTGACCACATCCGCAGCGTCTTCCCGGAGAAGCGCACACACGGAGCGGAGCGGAGCGGCTGGCGGTCTATGCGGAGGCAGCTGCGCGGACCCTGCAGCATCCCCTTTACAAACGCCGGCGCGGCTCCGGTTCCGACTCGTGGGACAGACGGGAAAACGGGGCGGACAGGCCTGGGAGCTGTCCAAGGTCGGAACCGATACCGCGTCCGGCGCCCCGCAGCCGCCGGGGGTCCCGGCCGGCGCCCACCCCGCGGCCCCGCCCTCGCCCACGCCCACTGAGCCGGCCTCTCGTGGGGGCCGGGCCCGCCGCGGCTCGCCGCGCCTCGCCGCGCCTCACCCGGGGCCGATTGCCGGTGTCCAGCTCGATGGCCCCGTTGGCCAGCTTCATAGCGCACTGCAGCGGCTTCACCGCGCCGTCCCCGGCCGCAGCGGCCATGGCGCCGGGCGGGGAGGCGGTGCTGGCGGCCCAGGGGCGGGGCGAACGGCCTGAAGCCCGGAACGAAGGATGCGAGGGAGCGGGGGCCGCCCGAGCCGCGGACCGCCGGAACACACGGGACCGTTTCGGGCGCACTTCCGGCTGCCCCGCCCGCGCCGCCTGCCCGGCGTCCAGGGCGGAAGGGGCGGAGCTGGGGGCGGAGCTCGCCAATAACCTCGGCACAAGTGCTGCCGCGAGCGGGCGAGCTCCCCCGCGACCCTCACTCCGCGGCTGTGACAGGCCCTCCTGCCGGCCCGCCCCCGCCCCGCCCTTCGCGCCGACCGACACGCCTCCCTCCTCACGCGGCCCTGCCCCTGCGCGCCCCGCCCGTCCCGCCTCCCGGGAGCCGAGCGGAGCCGAGCGGCGGGTCGGGCGGGACGAGCGAGCACAGTCCGGCTGAGCGGCCGAGAGCTCCGGGCCCGAGCAGGACCCGCGGCGCCGAGCAGCCGAGCCGAGCGGGCCCGAGCGCAGCCGGGTGGAGCCGAGCGGAGCCGAGCGGGGCGCAGCGCAGGGGCGGCCGCCATGAAACGGGACCGGCTCGGCCGCTTCCTGTCGCCTGGGGCGGCGGGGCCGCGCAGGGGCTCGGGCGGCAGCTGCGGCGGCGGCCGGACCCGGGGCCGCCTCTCCCGCGGCAGGCCGAGCGGGGACGAGGCGCCCGTGGTGGCCGCCCGGCTGGGCTGGGGGCCGGCGCGGGCCTGCGGGGACGCGGGCGAAGACGGCGCCGACGAGGCAGGTGGGTTCCGCCGGCCCGTGACCGTGGCCCGGGCCTCTTCCCGGCGCCCTTGGGCCGCTGGAGGCGGGCGGAGCCTCCCCGGCGCCCGCGCGGGTGCGGTTTCGCAAGCGCCGACCCCGCCTGCCCACGGAGCCCGCGGTGGCCGCTCAGCCCTGCGGGCGGAGGGGCCTGGCCTTGGCCCCGTCCGCGCCGCGTCTGCAGCCCGAGGTCCTTGCGGAGCCCCAGCCCCAGCCGCCGCTCGTTCGCTCAGAACCGGTGGGTGCGGCGCGGCGCGGCGAGGGCCGCTGGCCGGGGCTGGTGCCCGCCTGGCCGGGGCCGGTGCCTTCGCCCTCGCGTGGCGGACGGACCCCGCCCGGCGGGAGGACCTGGGCTCCCCGTCCTTCCCCGCTGGTCGCGGGATGACGCTTCCAGCTCCCTTTAGGAACTTACACTGCTGTGGAGGCGTTCATTTAGTTTAAAAACATTCGTTAAGAGTTTTCTTTGGGAAAAAGTTTTTACTGAGCTACCGTCGATATATCACGTTAGCTTCAGATGCGCAGCGTCACTGACATCTCGGTGTTGTGACAGGAACGCAGTGTCCAGTTGACATCCATCATCTCGCAGCGGCAGCTCTTTTTTTATGCGGAGAACTTTCAAGCTCTGCTCTCAGCACGTTCCGCGCGTACAGTGCAGCGCCGTGAATTAGTCACCAGGCCGCACACCGTTCCTTGTTTAATCGGTGGGAGTTTGTACTTTTTAAAAGGTGGTTTTTTATTGACCTCAGAGAGGACGGGGGAGGGAGCGGAGATGGAGACGTCGATGCGGCGTTGACTTGTGCGTGAGGCCGAAGACAGTGGCCCGGTGTCCTCTCTCGCCCGTGGCTTTCCAGTCCCCGCCGCTGTGTGTTCTGGGCGCCCTGCGCACACACTGATTGACCCTGTGTGCACGCGTTGGTTTCTGGGTCCTCTGTCCTTCCGTCATGTGTCTGTTTTTATGCCAAAGCTACACTGTTTTGACCACTTTCGCTTTGTAGTACAGTTTGAAATAAGGAATTGTGATGCCTCCAGCTTTGGCTCTTTGGGGTCTCTTCTGGTTCCGTGTACGTTTTAAGATTGTTAGTTCTATTTAGTTAGCAATGCTGTTGGACCTGGCTGGATAGCTCAGTTGGTTCGAGCGTTGTCGTCCTGAAACATTAGGGTTCAGGTTCAGTCCCCCTTCAGGGTGCTTACAGAAGGCAACTGGCCCGATATTTCTCACGTTGATGTTTCTCTCTCCCCCCTCCCCCTTCCTCTCTCTCTAGAACAATGAAAAATATTTCATCAGGTGAGGATTTAAAAAAAGGAATCAACCAATGAATGTAAAATAAGCAAAACAACAAATCGATGTTTTTCTCTCTCTGCCCTTCCCCCTTTCCTCTCTCTCAAAATCAGTTTTTACAATGCTATTTGAATTTTGATAGGGATAGTGTTGAATCTTAGATGGCTTTGGGTAGTGTGAACATTTTAACAATAATGAATTCTTCACGTTCACAGAATACTTTTCTATTTATTTGTATCTTCAATTTCTTTCATCAGTGTCATAGTTTTCGGTGTACAGGTCTTCCACCATCTTGGTTAAATTTATTCCTGGATATTTACTCTTTTTGATGCAATTGGAAATTGGATTGTTTCCTTAATTTCTCTTCCTGATGGTTTGTTCCGACTGGTTTTTGCACATTGACTTTGTATCCTTCACTGTGACCTGACTGGCCACGGGCTCCCCTCCTGGAGCTGTGTCTGGCCTGGCCTGACTCACCGTCTCCTGTGCTTGCCCAGGAACAGGCCGGGCTCTTGCCATGGGGCACTGCCGCCTCTGCCACGGGAAGTTCTCTGCACGGAGCCTCCGCAGCATCTCCGCCCGGGCACCAGGGCAGATCTCAGAGAGACCACCCCCAGGGGAGCGCGTGTTCGTCAGGGACTTCCAGCACCTGCTGGGGGTGGCCGTCCACCAGGACCCAGCTTTGTCTCAGTTTGTCTGCAAGAACTGCCACGCCCAGTTCTACCAGTGCCACGGCCTCCTCCAGTCCTTCCTGCAGAGAGTCAACGTGTCCCCGATGGGCCCCCGGAAGCCCTGCACACAGTAGGCGCTCCCTCCTTTGTTCATTTGGGGGTGCTCAGGTTAAGTCCCCGGTGTACTGTGCGGTTCTCGGCACAGGAAGTGCCTGGTGGGAACCTGTGCAGTGGGGGGGCCATGGTGCGGTGGCAGTGGACACGTGGAAGCCCCAGAGCGGCTGGTGTGGGAGGTGAGGGCCGAGAGGGCTCTGAGTGTCAGGAGACAGCATGGCGGGGCGGGGCAGCCCCATGTGGGAGAGCCGGTAAAGGGAGCGAGCCTGCCCCCCGCTTGCTGCGGGCCCCACTCACGTCCATGCTGCTCCTTTGCAGGGTGGGTGCCCAGCCCCCAACAGAGGCCGAGGAGGGAGCGTGTTTGGGTGAGTGTCCCCATCCCTGGAGTGTGGGGTATAGGTGGGCTCCCTGGACTGGGTGCTGACCAGCCAGGGGGCTGCTGTCTGTGCCTTTCCTCAGTGGACCTGATCACGTCAAGCCCGGAAGGTCTGCGTGGCCTGGTGGGGTGGGTGCATGGACACGCGGCCGGCTGTGGGGCCCTGCCCAGCCTCCAGAGGACGCTGTCCTCCGAGTGCTGCGGTGCCATCCAGGCCGTGTGGGGCTGCGCCCAAGGCCATGACTACACCATGGACGCCGACCCCAGCTGCGGGGCTCTCCTGCTGGACAGTGCATTGTCGGTCAAGTGGACGTGGGACAAGGAGACAGCCCCCCGGCTCACCCAGCATCGGAGGTCCAACCCCACTGGGGCTACCCCTCCGCGCTCCCAGGGCGGAGCGACCACAGCCTGGGCTGAGACGGAGACGCTGTCCAACACGGACGTGGTCCAGCCCCCTTCAGATGGCAGCCCTGTGGGGCCTGGGCCGAGCCCCCTGCCTCAGTCAAGCCTGCCCCCAAGTGGGGCTCCAGGTAGGAGCGTCTCTGGGCTGTTAGACCAGGATTCCTACCCCTGAGCCAGCAGGGCCCTCGCAGGAAGTGGATGTCTGCACGTGTGGGCAGTGGTGGCGGAGTCTTGTGGGCATCTGGCGGCAGGGAGGGCTGAGACCCGGTGCTGGCCGTGCCTGTGAGGCGCACGTCTCTGCTATCCCGCCTCACCGCCTGCTCCGGCCAGGGGACGAGGGAGGAAGAATGGGGCCTTGTTGCAGGGGGTGGGGGAAGAGGACAGCTGTGCCTGAGGCTGTTTTGGGTCATTTCCTGGGCCTCAGCCAGCACCCTAGTGACACCCCAGTGGGACGTGTGGACAGGCTCCTTTGCTGCGTGGTGAGGGAAACAGGCCCTTGGGTGGTGCAGTGGCTTAGGGACATCACGTTGGGCCAGGCCGGCTCCTGCCTGTCAGCTGCCATGTGTGCCCGTCTGCAGTGGGCGCTCGGCCACTGGAGTGCGAGTCCTTTCAGAAAGTGCCACTCCCAGGATGGCTCCGAGAGGGCGATGCTCAGGCTGGAGGAAGCGGGGACTGTGCGGAGGGCCCTTAGGGCTGCACGGCTCTTTAAACTGTGCACGCGATCCATTCATGACGTGTGAGTCGTCCCCCCTGAAACAGCTGGATGGGAACCTCTGGGGAGGAGGTCGCCAGCTGTGACTGTCGCTGGGTATCGGGTGCTCGGTGCTGCCTGTGCTAGACACGGTGGCCTGTGAGGTTGGCAGTGTTGGGACCTTGTGGGGGATGGAGCTGGGAGGTGGGTGGGATGTGAGGCTGGAGGACCCCAGGCTCACAAGGAAGGCTCTGTCGTCAGGCGGCCATGCCTCCTTGCTGGGAGCCCTGCCTACGCACCAGTTGGTAACAGGAGCCTTGTTCTTTGTTTCTCAGGGCAGTTGGGTGAGAAGCAGCTTCCATCTTCAACCTCGGATGATCGGGTAAAAGACGAGTTCAGTGACCTTTCTGAGGGGTGAGAGAAGAGTGGGTTTAAACAGCCTAAAATTTCTCCTTGGAAAACCAAACTCTACCATCCTAGGGGCTCGCTGTCCATGTCCTGGCCAGGGGTGCTTCCAGGCTTCTCGGTCCTGATTAGGGGCTTCCTGGGTCCCAGAGGGCACCCCGCTGATGCAGCTACCAGGCAGCGGGACCTGCGTGTGCAGAGCTCCTGGGAGGGTCCCGGGGGCACCCTCTGCTGCTGCCCCTGTCTCCTTCAGGCCTTCGTTCTGTGCTGGCCCCATGCTCCTCCAGCAGAGGACGCAGCCTCTGGCCCTGTCGTGGCACGAGTGTGACGGGGGCTGTCTGCTTCTGGCCCCCTGCCGCTGAGCCAGGCACCTCAGACCCTTCCAGCCTGACCCCACTAGCTGTGGCTGGAAGGCAGATGCACCCTTGTCCGTAGAGTAGGACAGTTTCAGTGCAGCTCCAGTCGGGCACCAGTGGCCGAGGTGCCGGAAGAACCCGAGGGTATGTGCTAGAAACACCCCGGGACCAGGCGTGGCCGGGGGTCTTGCAGCCTCGAGCCGTTCTGTCCGACGGGTGGCGGCCAAAGGGGAAGGCCATGGCGAGCCAACAGAGTGAACAGTGACTCATACTTGAGGGCGAAGGTTACAGGCATAGAGCTTTTTCTGGCCTTTGTGACCTTTGAAATGGCTGTCAGCTGACCTATCAGTTGGACAGGTGCTCACAGGGTGAGGGCTGTTCTGAGCGTCCACTACTCAGAAGCCCACCACCTATGGGGTCTTCACACCCGCCTGGGGCCTCCTTGGAGAGGTTCCTTCTGAGTTTGGGGTCCTGATGTGAGGAGAGCATGGAAGGAGATGGGATAGATATTGGGGGCTTCTAGGTTTCTTTCAGTCTTTTCAGAACTAAAACATGGACTGTGGGGACCTGTATGGTGTCTGCAGGCAGGAAGTCGCATCAGATCTGTCACCCACCCAGAGCTTTGCTAAAGGCTCTCTCTTTTGTCCTAGGGACTTCCTGAGTGAAGACGACAATGACAAGAAGCAGAACACCCAGTCCTCAGATGAGTCCTTTGAGCCTTACCCAGAAAAGAAGTAAGTGGGTCTTGGTGCAAGGCCTGGGGCTGGTGTCCATCGGGGAGCTGGATGCTGGATGTGTGTGCTCCCCGCACATGGTGTTTTGGATCAGCCTGCCAAGCCCAGTGCAATGTGGTTTCTGAGGGAGATGAGGCCTCCCCAGGACAGCTCTGGGCCCTGGCCTCAGTGTCATTCGTGAGGGAGCTGACGTCCAGGTGAGGATGGCAGGAGCCCGTGGGCATGACCCAGCCTCATTTTGGAGCTCTTTGCCTGCCTTGTGCCAGTCCTGCTCACGGCCACACCACCCGGCCAGCCTCTGATTCCTGCTCTAGGTGCTGAGTCTCTGGGGTTGGACTCAGCCTTGCACTTGTTCACAGCTCTGCCTCGGGCACCGATTTCTATGCCACTTCCTTGTTGGGGAGCTTTTGTGACCTTGTGTTGACCTCTTTTCAAGGACTTGTCTCTGCAGGTAGAACGTAGGGTCCTGGCAGGAAGGGACGATTTTTATTTGTGTCACTTTCTTCCCAACCCTGTGCCCAGGAACCCCCAAACCCCTGCAGTGTCGATGCCCGACATGGGCACTGTCCTTCAGCATTTCACAGCACAGTGAAACAAGCACACACCATCAGCCAAGAAAACGCAGAGACAGATTGAGAAGCAATCACGAGTTCTTTTCCTTGAAGTTCTGACAGGGGTTACGGAGAACAGGACAATAGGCAGCTCTGGGGAGACATCAGTCAGTGTGCAGCCCTGAGGCTCCCCACCCCCACCCCCAGCTGTCCCATCCACCTGTGAAACCCACAGGCTCCCTGAAGCCTCCTGCTCTCTGCAACTGTAGTCCAGGGTGGGAGGGAAATGGCAAATTACCTGTCAGTGCAGCCGACAGGTGCCATGCCACTCAGAAGAGGGTAGAGGCCAGTGATTGGGACATGCAGCCAGGTTCAAAGCACAGTTACTTGAGACAAGGAGAGAAGCCTAACGCAGTCATCAAAAAGGTTCTTTTAATCTTCTCATTAAAGGGAGGACAACTATTTATAACCCTTCTTTACAATTTGTGGTAACATACACAGTTTGCCATTTTTAAGTTCAGTGGCATTAAGTACATTCACAATGTTGTGCAACAATCGCCACTATTTACAAATTTGTCACCACCCCGAGCAGAACCTCTGTACACATTAAGCAATGACTTCCCTGTCCTCCCCCGGGCCCTGACAACCTCTAGTCTAGGTACTGATTCTAGGGACCTCAGTGGGATTATAGTTGTCCTTTGTGACTGGCTCCTTTTGAGATTTACCATATTATAGCCCAAGTCGGAGCTTAACCACATCTTGGGTTGTTTTCACCTTTTGGTTATTGTGAATAATGCTCTGAACACTGAGGTACAGTCATCCTAATGGGTGGAAGTGGTACCTCAATGTTAATTTGCTTTGCATTTATCTAATGATTAGTGATGTTGAGCATCTTTTCACATTTTTTTTAAAGAGAAAAAACATCAATTTGTTCTACTTATCTATGCATTCATTAATTGACTTTTGTATGTGCCCTAACTGGGATAGAACCTGTAAACCTGGATTATCAGGACAACACTCTAACCAACTGAGCTACTCGGCCAGCGCCACGTGTATGCTTATATCTTCTTTGGAGAAATGCCCTCCAAGTCCTTTGCCTATATTTTAATTGGGTTGTCTTTTTGCTGTTGAGTTATAAGGTAGTTTTTCCTATTCAGTGGGTCATCTATTTCACTCTCTTGGTCGTGTCATTTGGTGTGCAAAAGTTATGATTTCGAAGTCCAGTTTACCTATTTTTACTTTTGCTGCCTGTGCTTTTGTGTCATATTTTTTTTTTAAATATATTTTATTGATTTTTTTACAGAGAGGAAGGGAGAGAGATAGCTAGAAACATCGATGGGAGAGAAACATCGATCAGCCGCCTCCTGCACATCTCCTACTGGGGATGTGCCCGCAACCCAGGTACATGCCCTTGACCGGAATCGAACCTGGGACCTTTCAGTCCGCAGGCCGACGCTCCATCCACTGAGCCAAACTGGCTTCGGCTTTGTGTCATATTTAAGAAACCATTGCCAAGTCCAAGATCATGAAGACTTACTGCTGTTTTCTTCCAAGAGCTTTATAATTTTAGCTCATATTCCGGCCTTTGATCTGAGTTAACTTTTGTATGTAGCGTACATTAGGGGTAGTTTCTTTCTGCGTGTAGATGTTGTTTCCCAGCACCTTTGTTGGAGACTGTCCTTTCCCTGTAGAATAATCTGGGCACTCTTGTTGAAAATAGTTGATTGTACTTTTGAGGGTTTATTTCTATCCTCTTAATTCTATTCAATTGGTCTACGCATCTGTCTTTATGCAAGCACCACAGTTTTGATTATTGTAACTTCGTAGCAAATTTTGTATTCAGGAAGTTGAGTCCTCCCATCAGTTTTTCAAAATTGTTTGGCTATTCGGGCCCCTTGAAATTCAACGTGAAATTTTGGACTTTTTTTTCCCTACTAAAAACACCATTGGGATTTAGATAGAGATTAAATCTGTAGTTTGCTTTGGGAGAAGCATTGCCATCTTAATAGTCTTCTAATCCATGAATATGGGATGCCTTTCCACTTATTTAGGCCTTTCATTTCTTTCATCAGTGTTTTGTAGTTTTCAGTGTATAAGTCATTCACTTCTTTGGTTAAGTTTATTCCTTATTTATTATTTTTGATGTGATTGCAAATGAATTTTCTTAATTTCCTTTTTGGGTTGTTGTTGTGTAGAAATAGAACTGGTGTTTGTGTGCTGATTTTGCACCCCGCAACTTTGCTGAATTTATTTTGTATGGGGACTCTGTAGGGTTCTTTATATATAAAATCATGTCATCTGTGAATAGAGGTAATTTTCCTTCCTAATTTAGATGGCTTTTATTTTTTCTTGCCTAATCTCTCTGACTAGGATATCCAGCATTATATTCTTGATCTCAGAGGGAACTTTTTAGTCTCTAACCATTGAAGATGATGTCAGCTATGGCTAGTCACATATAGCCCCAGGTGCTCCCTTCTATTTCTTTTTCACTTTATTTTAATTATAACATATTTATTGTTGAAAGTATTACAGCTGCCCCCCCCCCTTTTTTTTTAAGATTTTTTATTTTTAGGAAGGGAGAAGGAGAAAGAGAAATATCAATTTGAGAGCGAAACATTGATGGGCTGCCTCATACACACCCTTAGGCATGTGCCCTGACCAGGAATCAAACCAGCCACCTTTTGGTGCACAAGAAGATGCCCAAATGAGCCACACCAGCCAGTGCTCCCTCCCATTTCTGACCGAGTTCCTTAAATGTCTGGGTCCAAAAAGGAAGACGTGTGTTCTCTAAACTTTTACTAGACCCTACTGGTCACGCACCAAGTCCCATGGCCCACTCTGGCCCGTGGCAGAGCTGAATGGGGTGGCAGCTGGTGGAGCACATAGAGCACTCTTCCCAGAGGCAGCACTTGCCCCTCAAGGACTTCTGGTTGCTGTGAGTCTCCCATCAGGGTCCAAAGTTCCACAGCTGCTGGATCTGATCTTTTTCCTAGCTTAATGGTTGTTCTGGTCCAGGGACTGACCCCTAAAGCTTCTGTATTCCACCTTTTTCCATGGCGTCTCGTGTTTGGTTTTGATATTTAGAATAGGGTGTAAGACTGCAGTCCTAAAAACCCACTTCTGTAGTCATTGTCCCTGCACTTGGCCCTCCCATGGGGGCAGTACCGGGCATCTGCCTACTGAGTTGTTCTGGCTTTGGTGGCTGAGGGTCCAGTTCAGGGCACCCAGTTAGGACATAGACTGAAGCAGGCTAGCCCTGGAAGCTGAATCATATCGGAGAACATGAAGGAAAGTGAGACCCATGTACAGAGGTCAGACCTATCACTGCATCTGATTTACCTTTTTATTCCCCCCAGAGTCTCTGGTAAAAAGAATGGGAGCAAAGAGGCCAAGAAGCCTGAAGAACCAAAAATCCGAAAGAAGCCTGGCCCGAAGCCGGGCTGGAAGAACAAGCTGCGCTGTGAGAGGTGAGGCCGGGTGTGGGCTGCACGGCCGGGTGTGCGGCCAGGGCGGCAGCTCCATGGTGCCCTGTGTTTTAGGGAGGAGCTGCCCACCATCTACAAGTGCCCATATCAAGGCTGCACAGCTGTGTACCGAGGGGCTGATGGCATGAAGGTAAGGAAGGTGCTACTGAAGCCAGGGCAGGAGTCTGCGGGAGCAGGGGGAGGTGTCAGGCCCAGACTCACGCAAGGGTGCCCGTGAACCTGGGGAAATGGAGATGTGAAGCGACCCCGCCATTGCCATGCTGCGTGGGGGAGGATGCACCGGCCTTTGCTCTGGGAAAGCACCCGTCTTCAGTGAGGGATGGTGGATCTGTCCCTTCGAGGGTGGTGCACAGGGCTCAGAGGCGGCAGGTGCTGTGTGGTGGGTGAGCTGCTGTCCAGTCCCAGCCCAGCACTCAGGGCCTCACTGTTCCCCTGCAGAAGCACATAAAGGAGCACCATGAAGAAGTCCGCGAGAGGCCCTGTCCCCACCCTGGCTGCAACAAGGTGTTCATGATTGACCGCTACCTACAGCGGCATGTGAAGCTCATCCACACAGGTGCATCCCTGACCCCCTCATGGGAACAGCCCCCGGGTCCCCATCTTGGCCTCGTGGGTAGTGTGTTGTTCGTGGGCTGCAGTGTTGACAAGTCAGCTCAGTTGGTCAGTGTGGAACTGGCAGCAAAGAAATCCGTGTGCCTTTCTGTGCATGTATTGTGGTGGGTTTTTTAATTTTTTTAAAAAAAGTCATGTTTTTGGGATAAGAGGAAGCCACATGCATTGTAGAAATGGTGAGACAAAGGCTCAGATGCAGCCACCACCGTCAGCTCAAGGGCCACCACTTCTCTATGTCACAACCTGGGCTGATACAGATTCATCATTTTCATGGTGTGACCCACACCACCCACGTCAGGAAACACAAGAACCACACATACACCTACTGTCCAGGATCGGATCGGTCGTAGTTTGACCGTTGGTTTTTGTTCCAAGAGTCTAAGAAACTGACTTCCAGGATGGGGGCTCCCCTGGGGGTCCCATGTGGAGTGGCAGTACCTGAGACCTTGTGATGTGGCTCCTCTGAGAATCTGTGCTCAAGTAGGTAGAGGGCCTTCTAAGACGTTTAAGAAAACTGGCTTCCACCGTGCAGTGGATTTAGAGGAAGCTTCCAGACATGGGTTGCAGGGCTCCGCTAATGATTTGTATGAAAATTGTCTCTCATCTGAGTAGTCAGGTCAGCAAGGTCCCCTGCTTGGGCACTGAGTGTAGAAAGCCCAGAAGGTGGGCCTTCTGGGGCCTGTGCTCACCTGTCTCTCCTCAGAGGTGCGGAACTACATCTGTGATGAGTGTGGACAGACCTTCAAGCAGCGGAAACACCTCCTCGTCCACCAGATGCGGCACTCGGGAGCCAAGCCTCTGCAGTAAGTGTGACCTGGGGTCTCCTGGTGGCCACACAGGCACCCAGATCCTCGCTCACTCCCCCTGTCCCCTAGGTGTGAAGTCTGTGGGTTCCAGTGCCGGCAGCGGGCATCCCTCAAGTACCACATGACCAAACACAAGGCTGAGACTGAGCTGGACTTTGCCTGTGACCAGTGTGGCCGGCGGTTCGAGAAGGCTCACAATCTTAACGTGCATATGTCCATGGTCCACCCTCTGACGCAGACCCAAGACAAGGCCCTGCCCCTGGAGCCATCGCCCAGGACCACAGAGGGTCAGGCTGTGAAGCCTGAGCCCACCTGAGGGTGCTCAGCACCTGAACTCAACAGGTGGTAGGTGGGGTGGAAGGACGCCTTTATAGTTCCTCCCATGAGACCTGAAGGCACAGCTTGGCTCACTCTGAGAGACCCCATGCTGGACCTCACCCCTGTGCTGGAAGGTGGGGGCGCAGTGCAAGGCCGAGGTAGCCTTTCTGGGACCAGCCGTTTATTTTCCTACGAACATGGACTTGGGGCCAGACGCAAATTTTAAAGAGTCCTGTCCCTCACGCAAGCAGCCACGGAGGTTTGTAATCCACTTTTTCGTGCAACAAGAGCTCCACGTCATGCTCGTAATAAATTATTTACAAAGGAGCAGTGCGTGTGCGGGTCCAGTCAGAAGAGGCAGGGCTCCTGGGAGAGGCCAGTGTCCCGCATGTCCCGCTGCCTGCTCAGGAGGGCAGCACTCACTTCGGGGTCACAGTCTCCACGAGTGGCCAGCAGCTGCAAGAAAACACCATGCTCAGTGCAGCACAGCCCCAACACCAAGGCATGGGGGGGAGCTGGTGACCGGAGCTGACCAGAAAGTGGCCATGTGTTGGGCCTCCGCATCCTCACACTTGCATAGTGATTTGGATTATACACAAACACCATGGGGAGAAAATACCATGGGGAACACTTAGGCGTTACCTCTGCCATGTTAGAGAAGCTCTTTCTGGAGCACCGAGGTATTGATTGCAGCAGAAAAAGACGAGCTTTTGTTATCAGGCCGACAGGGCAGCACTAGAGAGAACAGACAGAGCCACAGTCAGGTGCCCACATGTGTGCCAGGAGGGGTCCTCACCTGAGAGTTTGCCACGTGGGCCCGTGGGATGTGCCCTCTGCCTCTTGGGTTGTAGGAGGTGGGCCCGTGGGATGTGCCAATTGCCCAGATAGCCCACCCTTTCACCTGCCTGGCCCTGGAGCTCCTGAGTCCTGCTGGCCAGAGTCGAGAGTACACCTGTCTCCCCGGCTACGAAGAGGCCAAGCAGCCTGAGATACATGTCCACTGCAATGTGCAGGAAGGCATCATTCTGGGTGAGGGCGTCTTCGTCAAAGTAGGAGAGGAGGCTGATGGTGAGACTAGATGTCAGGTGACACCAAGACCTCCCAGAGAAGGACAGTTGGCACAGGAAGTTCCAGGCCATCTCTGCCATCTGGAGGGAGACCCACTGTGGTCTGACCAGAATAGGGAGTTACCTGTAGAAGGCGACTGGCAGCAGCCTGACATGCTGGTCCGGGGCCAGGAGGAGAAGGAGGTGACCCAGGCCGGCATCTACAACCCAAGGGGCTCAGTCAGCCCTGACTGCCACCCCCCAGGACTGGTGTCTTCAGAGGACCTTGTGTACCTTTGTGGGCCAGGCAGGTGGACCCCTACATGATAGCTCAGTGCCACCCTGGGGTCCTTGGTGCTCCACTAAATTCTTTTACAGGCTTTTGTCCTGATGAAAATGTAGGGTTTATATGCTTTGCAAGAAGATAACCATTTGAAAGTTGCTTCTGAAGGGACTCAAATGTCAAAAGCCACAGTCGGACTCTGCTGGGTCAACTGCGCTCCTAGCCAATGGCGGATGACTAGAGACCATTGGCTATCAGGTCTCAGTGGATTTCTTACCTGTCTCTGTCAACTGAAAGAGCGGCAGCCAGGGCACCTTCCTCTTCTCCAAACACCCCAAGATCTCGGCACAAACGTCCAAAGCCGTCAGGCAGTTGCCAGCCTGTGACCCACAGAAGAGGAAGAATGACTTGGACGGCGGTGGCTGCAGAGCTGAATGTCTTGCTGGGTTCAGGCTGGGCATGTGGGGAAGAGGGACGACCCTCTTCACAGAAGGGAGCCTTTCCTTGTTACAGAGTGTGTCGCTCAAGGCCTCTGATGAAGGGAACGCCGGCAGGAGGAGGTGGCCAGGGACCCTGGGGCCCAAGTGCTTAAGTAAGACATCAAAACAAAGGCCAAGGCCGAGGAGCTCCTACTCCAGTGAGCACAGGACTCCCCCCACCCCCTCCCCACCCCGACCCAGGAGGGCTGGGCCCCTGAGGACCTGCAGCTTCAAGAACCTGGGGAAGAACCCTGAGACATGAGGGATAACATACGTGTGGGGTCAGGTATGTCGACAGCAGGCCCATCAAGGAAAAGAAAAACAGGACAACCAGCAGCTGCAAATACAAACAGGGACACTTGCAACGTGAAGTCATCCGTGCTGTCCCCACAGCGCAGTCCTAGGTGTGGAACGCAGCATTCCTCACCACCACTTACAGGCCCAGGACACAAACTTTTCCTCTAAGTGGATCTTCTCAGAATGAAAAATTCCCACGTTTAAGCAGAAATTAATTGTGTAAAATTATTACTGACTGATCATTTTTATGCTCGTCTTTAAACCAGGCTATTGCCAGGGGTCTCCCTGGTGTGTGAGTGTCCCCACCACAGGTAGCTTATCTGTGCAGTGAGCCACCAGCTCAGCCTCGTTCCCTGGCTTTGTGTCCAGAAATGTTTGTAAAACTCAGGTGGTAAACCCACAGGCTACATCCCGCTTCTCTGACCCTGACCGCAGGCACACCCAGGCTGGATGGCGCCTCTGTGGACCCTGTCCTGTCCCCTTGGTCAGGCCTGTCACCAGGCCTTCCAACAGAACCACCTGAAAACAATCATGGAAGAATCTTATTTGTAGGTTTTTTACTTTATTAATCACCAAAAATAGATTGGCTCAGCAACTGATTTAGTTGTCCAGCAGGTGGACACATGCTGAGCTGACAGGTGGCCTCGAGTGCCCTGGCTACAGACGGTCCCACAACTCCCAGTAGGGACATTTCAAGGTGCCAGCCTGGACTCAGAGCACCTGCCCTCCACCTGCCCTGTCTCTCGGCCTGTGCCTAACTGTGGTGCATGTGAACCGAGGGTGTGGAAATGGACACCAGGTTCCACTGGACAGTTGACAGCCCTGCCCGGGGTTGTGATGTGAATAAGAAAAAGATCAATGAAAGCACTTCAAAAATGAAACTAAGATATTCTTTTTATAATAAACTTGAGAGTCAAAGTCTTATGAAATCTTAAACCCAGCAAATTTTACTTTCAAATAAAGTGTCAGAATCTCCAAACTTCCTGTCTGTGCTTGGGAAAGCTCAGTCATTAGGTGAGCTCTGAGGAACACCACTGACCAGAACACTGACAGCGGGCCTGCTGGGGAGGGAGAGAGAGAAGAGCTGTCCTTGCCTCTTCCGTGGGGCAGTGCAGCCTCTCCAGGCCTCTCCTCAGACTCCCTTTCCCAGCTTGTTGAATCGCAAAGTGCAGCGCAGCAGCAGAGACCCAGGCCGGGCCCGAGGTGGGGGACACTGTGTCAGGGGACTCTGTGTCGGGGGACAGGAGGCTGGGAAGAAGAGAGATGTGTGTCATCACAGGAGCCTGTCAGTCAAGTCACCACTGCAAACCTAAGGTCCTTGTTCCCAAAACTGTCACAGTGCAGACCCACCTGCCTAGGGTGAGCCATGAGGGGCTCAGAGTCGGCAGAAACAGCCTGCAGAGCCCAAGCCTGTCATGGGCTCATCCTTGGTTTAGGGTCCAGTTTCTGGTTGCAGCATGCCTGTGCCCTGGACACGAGGCACGGTAGGGCCTGACCAGGGCACTGGTCCCAGTGCCTGAGCTGAGGCCCATGGCCCACAGTCTGCAGCTCGGACCCTACTGACTATGGTGCTGCTCAGAAAGGTTCTGCGGCAGGTGAAAAACAGGCTGGAAATTCATAATGGGGTGGAACGCACCATCTACTCTGTAGAAGGAGGTGGGTGGGCAGGACTTGCCTTCCTTATTTCCTGAGCAGATTTTGAGCACCCCTGACCCTGCAGGGAGACGGGTGCACATCAGGGATAAAAACGCAAGTCACAGAAATGAAAGGCGGCTAGATGGGGACTTGAGATTCCTTTGATGACCTCACAGCACCCCACATCCAGCAGGATACTGGAGACCATTGGCCCAGCAGTCCCAGGAGAGTGGGTCAACCAGGTCACTCAGGCTCAGAAACCTGAGCAAGGTCTAACTGATTACTTAGGCTGAAATCGGTCTTTCCCAAAACATTCCTGAATTCTCACTCAGGGACCTGTCAGATCAGTTCTGCTGCTGGGTCCTGTAGCACCTGCCCACAAGGCACCCTGTAAACACCCTAAGGTATCCATGGAGATAACCCAGAGCACTTTCTCCCCATGCCCCACTGTCAGCACCCACCTGCTGGCAAACTGCCAGGCGTCACGCAGCCTCTGCAGCTCTCGGGGCAGCGGGCTCTGGAAGCACCTCCACCGACAGAGAAGCTCGGGCTCTAGGCGCAGCCACCAGAACTGCCGGAGAGAAAGGTCACAAATCAATAGATCAGGGCCCTGAGTTTGGGGCAAGAGAGGTATGTCCACTCCACCAGCTGCCACCACCCCCAGGCCGGCTCACATCTACCCAGCACTTCAGAAGGTCATGGGCAACATCGCGTGCACTCCATCGCAGGAAGGCTCAGAGCCGTTCCGTGGGGCACCCTCATCTGCCTGTGCCAAGGACATGGATTGGAAACCAGAAGCCTTGCCTAAAGAGGTGCCTGTGCGTGGGGTCGGCCACACTGTCCAATAGCTCAGCCAGTTCCCCAATATCCCCGCTGAGCAACACGGGACAGGTCACCCACTGAGCTACAGGGGAAATGCCACCATTGCCTGTGAAGTAGCTCAAGTTCCACGCTGTTAGTGTCAGAATCCCACCAGAGATGGAGAAGGGAGAGAGAAAGCTGTGTTGTCAGGGTGCTAACCTAAGACAGCCAGCAACGGCACCCAAAGGTCCCACCCAAGGCCTCTGGCAGGGGCTGAGGTAGCCTCTGTTCATCCTGAGATAGCAGCCGAGACGGCAGATGCAGCGAACACAAAGTGACACCCGCAGGAGAGCACAGGCCGACACCGCCCAACCTCAGCCAACGCTGAACAGCAGGTGCTGAGCCAATGCCCAGGCTGATCCTTCACACTTGCGTGTCCACGCTGCCCGAGGCAGGCGCAGGGTGGCAGCCAGGGGACCTGTCACCCCACCTGTGTCCTGACATATTCTCCCTACCCCCACTTCTCCCCAAGTTTTCTCTTGAATTATAGTAACTGGGATGAGATTTTAGTGGGGAACAGACAACACCTCCAGCAGGAGAGCTGGGCCTACCAGAGCAGAGGTTAAAACCAAGGGGCACTCGGTCTGACAGGCGGTCAGGATCTGGTTGGCTGTCAGGGCGGGGTCTCTGCTTCGTGAGCAGGCCTGGAGGAGCCCCTATAGAAGAGAATGTGCCAGAAGTTTAGCGGTTTGCACGTGAACCCAAGCCCTGAAAGACACTGGCTTCCCAGCAGCACCAGACATGAGGCTCCTGCGCGGCCAGGTGGGAGGTAGAGGGAAAGGGAATTACCCGGAAGAAGTGGACGGTAACGTCGTGCGTCAGGGCACCTCCGTGGGAACCCAAGTTTCTCTGCAAAATAGTACAGGTCAGTGAGAGAGCAGCCAGTGGTGGGAAGATGAGGATGGTGTCTGACAGGTGGAGGTGTGAAGACAGCTGCCTGTTCACAGCACCATCATGGACCCTGGAGGGCTGCCCCTGCTCACTGCCTCTCCACACTTCTCTGAGCAACACGATTTCCCCCCAGCCTGCCCGCTCTGGTGCCAACACAGGGGGTGGGGGGCCTCCAAGTGTCCGGGTACCCAGTGAGGCAGGGGAGCAGCTCTGTGTACTGGATGGAGCCCTAGTTCAATCTCTAGTCATAGCTGTGCTTTTCCAAAAACTAGAAAAATATCTCCGGGGTAGAAGCTGTTCCCTGAAGTGAGCAGGGGGCACGTTTATTTGTCACCTTACTGACCCTCCAAGTAAGATCAGAGGCCCCTACACTGAGCCACCTGCAAAATGGAAGGAAGGAAACGGGGCCACCTGGTGGCAACAGTGTGGTCACAGCATCACTCAGAGTCAAAAATGGAAAGGGAGATGCATGGTGAGCGAATGGTTTGCAGGCTTCATGGGTCCAACAAGGCCGTGACAGTCCTGTGGAGGAGGGAGCGAGCCCCGGCCTGCATTCACTGGCCCGTGTTGGTGGTGGGTGAGGGCCTGCACACCCAGCTCCAGCCAACACGCTCCACATCCCACGTGGTCAGGACCCGCCTGTGGCAATTACTAGTAGCTCCAATTGACCACAGACACACTCATGAATTCAGGACCAGCCCTGAGTGACCAGATCGCGCCTCATCCCTGAGTCCCAAGGTCACTTGCATGGCACTTACCAGCTCAGAGTTGACCAAGTGGAAGAACTCAGCGCAGTCAGGGGTGGCTGGTTGTTCTGCCCGGGGGTTGCCGACAAGGACAGACGGAGGGAGTCCGAGGAGGATTCTTGGAGAAGAGGCAGTGCATCAAGGGTGGAGGCATCACCTAACTTTGCTTCTCGAGAACTTAGATCTCAAGGCTGCAAGGACCCTCCCAATTCACTCTTGGAATCAGAGTGTGGTCTGCAGCCCCCATTGTCCCCAGCCTGTGGCTGGCTGAGCACATGAACCCTATGATAGACACTCAAAAGATGTGACCCAAAACCAAAATGTAAGTTACATAAGAAGCAGGGCACCAGTCTGACTAACTGGAGGGTTCCAGCATTTCATTCTCTGAGCACACAAGGTCTTCCTTCTTTTGACATGAGTTCTTTCCAACATTTTGATCCTGGGTCTGAGCAGAAAGCTTTACTCCCAAGTGTTTTTCATATCTCCAGGCCCTGCTTCTCCACAGAACCCCAAGAAGCCACCACCACAGGCTGGGGAGCAGGGGGCTGAAAATGAATGACAGACTCCAGTGTTGTTACCTTTTGTACATGAGTAGCTCCCGCTGTCTCTGAAGTCGGGAAGCCGTGTCCCACCCGCCTGCCAGAGCCTGGAGCCGGCTGCGGAAGATCCTGAAGAGGAAGTGTCCCCGAGATGGAGCACGGCCGTGGGGCGCCACCGGGCCCTGTTCCAGGTCAGCAGCCATCTCCTAGAGAAAAACAAGGCTGAGAGGCGCATGCATTTTCATCTCTGGTTCCAAGTGGTTCTCTGTCCCCAAATGCGAAGGCAGAGAGTCCCTGGGCTTCCTGTCTGCCCCAGTGAGGAGCCTGAAATGTTCTTGGGAGAGAAGTCTCCACAGGGCTCAGGATAAGTGGGATAAAATCATTAGGAAGTTGAAAAACTTTGCAAAAATAAGACTAGCACAACGAACACCTTTACCCAGATTCACCCACAGCTAATGTTTTACTCCATTTGTCATTTGCTCTTACCCTACACATACAGTGTGGGGGCACACATGTGAGGATGAATTACTCAGGTGAGGACTGTATACAGCAGGCACTTGATAAATGCCTCAGTGCACACGCAGTGTCCTTAATATGCTCAGGTGGCTGCAAAGCAGCAGCCACAAACCCCATCTAATCACTGCCCACCTGACATGTGTACTCGGCTGTGTCTGCCCTCTTCAGTCACATCAGTCATGAAGGATGTGGAGAACAAGAGGTCAAGATGAGGGGGGTTCAGGGGAATCAGGTCTCTTTTTTGTGGAATTTTCACTCATTTGTTAGTAAATTTCTCCAGTGCTCTAAACCACAACCCCCATGTTTATCTTTCCATTCCTATTTCCTAAATCCAGACATTTTGAGAGGCAGCAGGAATGCCACCAGGAAGCATGAAATCCACACACAGAACCCTACAGAACAGACGCTGTGCATTTCTGCAGGCAGGTTCCCAGGTACACGTGGACGAGGAGGCAGGTGGGCTCAGATCCTGACCCTTACGGCCCAGGAAGGTCTGAGGCTGGCAGGCATGGTGACTACACCTGCTCTCGCTCTCTCCGTGCTGCAGAGGAGACAGAGTCCGCTGCCTGCAAGGTGCCAGCTGACCCTGTGACACTCCGTGAACTGTTGATCCTCTGAAGGGATTGACATCACTTCTCAGAGCCCGACACCCAAACAGAACAGCCAAGAGTAAAGCAGAAAACAGTGGGGTAGCACCTGTGTTATCATCAAAGTTGGAATTTTCTTAATCGCCTCTATTTTCAGAAAT